GAGCTGACAGGAAACACAGGGAGAGATTTTTTACCAGGGCCTGGAGTGCCAGGATGAGGGGAATGGCTTCACACTGACAGACAGTGGATCAGATTGGATATTAGGAAGAATTTCCTCCCTGTGAGGGTGGTGAGGGTGGCACAGGCTGCTCAGAGAAATGCCCAAGGCCAGGTTGGAGCAACCTGGTCTCATGGAAGGTGTCCCTGGCAGGGGGGTGGAACAAGATGATCTCTGAGGTCCCCTCCAACCCAAACCAGTCTGTGATTCTAAGGAGCATCTTCTCATCAGTTCATGGAAGTTTCAGTAGAATTCCCCCAGTCACTCCTGCCTTTGAAATACATGTTCAGCAGAGACAGCTGAGGTGCCCTCCCAAAACAAGCACCACAGCTGAATGCCAGAGTTGTGAAATAATTACTGCTCTGTGAATTTGAGCAGCCACTTGCAGCTCTGCAGCTTTATAAACAGGAAGTGTGAAGCTCTGCATTCATACCTGCTTTCATCATATGACAGAGCCCTGAAGCCATCAAACACTGGCTGACATAACAAGCCTCGCTGTAGAATCTAGACTGTCTCCACAGTGGATTCTATTCATTCTGATAGCTAAAAAAAAGCTATCAGAGAGAGACTTCTAGGCATTTTCACCACATGCCTCTGAAACTCAAGGCTCAGAAAAGCACAGGTTTGTACCCTTAGAAAATAACATATCCCAAAGAACCTTCACCTCCCTATCATGGTCAAGCTCTGGTTTTCAGCTGTGAGAGAAAATAAAGCAGAATACTCTCCTTCATGGAATACAGAAAAAAAAGAATCAACTACTAAAATGGTTCCCTGACTGTTTTTCCTAAAAAGATGTCTGGATTTAAAAAGTTAATTTCATAATCTGGAGTAATAAAAAGCAGTTTTCCATGGGCTGCAGGGCTGAGTCCATGGATTTGTCACCAGGCTGAGATCGACAGCCTCAACTAGATGATGATATATTTGCACAAGTTTTCCATCATCCTCTTGTCAGATTTATGACATCTGCACGCTTGAGGATGTTAATGATCAGACACCAGATATATTTGCCTTGATTTAAATGAAACAAATGTAGCTATTTTTCAAATTCAATCAAGACACAAAAGGTCATTAGCAAGATTTATCCTCTGCCCATCAGACATTAGTCATTACTGGCACACCCTCACCATCCTCCTTGTGGGTTAGAGAGGGGTTTTGTTCCTTTGGTGCTCTCCAGTTGGTGCCATCTCAGAGACAAAACCAGGGAAGAAAACTGCCTTAAAATCCACCATGAGCTCTCCAGAGGCAAAACCTGTGGAATTGATACATCTGGAAGTTTTGCCTCACTGTTAGCTGGCATTTTAACTGCTTGTACATTTTAAAACAACAGCAGCGCTGTTGCTGTGCTTTCATTTTGCTCTTTTTCTCAGAGATCACTGAGCACAGGACCAAACACAATTAAATGGATTTATCAGCAGTCACTCATTTCCCCAAATTCTCTGCTCACTGACCATGCTGATGTTGTGGCAGCTCCCCTTCTTCCACCCTGCACTCATGAAACAAAAATTGTACCTTGCTTTGAGCAGAAGGAAAACTCTGCCCTCCTCTCTGGCCCAAATTTGACAGATCCATGATTATGCACCAACATTGCTTTTAAGTGGTTCCCTGACTCAATATTTAGCATAGATAATTTAGCTGGAAATGGCCTGAATTACACCTGCTCTAAGCAGCATTCACAGAAACTTTGACTACAGATCCCACAGTTTCATAATTCCCAAGTACTTACATAAATTTATACTCAGTCTGTGATTATCCTCTCAAAGTTACTGAGGCAGAACATATTAACAGCCACTGGAAAATACAGTCCATAAGGATCTGAAATAAACTAGCCACCAATACCACATAGGAATCTCTTTCCTAGAATTCTTATTAAAATATTCCATATACAACACAGGACAGTGCAGGAGCTGCTGTGCTGATACAGGAGCTAATACAAGAGTGATAAAATGTTCTTTTTTTTAATAATATTTTATTGGCCCAAAGCCAGCCCTTTGAGGAACTGGGTGCCAAGACTGGCAGCAGCAGAACTAAAAGATAAGGCAGGTTTTAGAGCACCATCTCCTTGGCAAGGCCAGAGCACCCTGATGGACACAGTGGCAGGAGAGGAGTGGGAAATCAGAGGCAAACATTGGAAAATCCACCAGAACACAACACTGGCTGACTTGCAGCACTGCCCTAAGCAGAAAATTGCTGTTGGAGCTTCAGTCTAAGAAAAAAAGCAACAAGCTCAAGAGCCACAGTACCACTTCATGCCACCACAAATTCAGTTTGATAAAATAACTGACAATTTTATGCTCAGTTTGGAACAAAGCACTTCTGACTTCACCTCTAATGACCTGCCCAAGGATTTCATCTCCTCACAAAGAATCCATCCTCGGAAGGAGGTCTGTGGGGTCAGGAACAGCTCTCCTCACTTCTCATCTCATACCTTTTCCACAGCAACACCACTTTGTGCCTCTGGCTACTATAAATAAGATGACCACAATTGGCAAAATTCATAAAGAGAGATGTTTAAAATAGCATCCCTTGCTTTTCACTGCCAGGCTGCACAGATCTCAGGGAGGCTGAGGAGGCTCCTGTGACCTGCACTGGTGGACACAGGACAACTTCAGCGTGCCCACGCCACCACAGCAGTGTCAGCTGCCTGGGCCAGGGGAAAAAAGAGGAAAATAAAGCAGCAGGACTGTCTCCTGTTCAAGGGTGGAAAAGGCCATCAGCACCAGGCTGCTCTGGCACTTTCATCTCCTCCAACAGAAGTTACATTTTAGCTACAGTTATTTATATTGTGAGCCTTTAACCACAACTCCCCTCACCTCCACAACCTTTGGTTACTACCAAAATGGAATTGTAATAAATGAAACTGCCTGATTATCTGAAGCAGCATTTTTTCCAGACATTCTGAACAACTAAAATTCAAATTGGTGACTCAAAAACACGAACACAGCATTCTGAATGATTACCACAAGTACAGGTAACCACTGCTGATTACTCATAAAGAATTCCCAGCAGAAAAATCTGTACAAATACCACTTAATACAAAACTTTCTCGCCATTTAAGAACCAGAAAACAGTGTTAGAGAAGGTGGATCTAATTGGAGATAAATATATTTGGCATTTTTTTTTTTAACATTTACGTTTATCCATTATCTCTGTTTGTGTCCACAGAAATGCCACAAGTACCAGCAAGGTTCTCTGGAAGTAGGAATGGTCTAACAAATAATGTTTTGATAACTGGCCTGTTTTATACATACAGTGATTCACTGGTTAAGTAAACAACATAGTTATTTAGCAAAACATCAATTTATAACAGAGTGCCTAAAACAACCTTTCTGGTCTCCTACAGAAAAACAGTATTGAAGGTCTCATATAGAGAAGAAAAACATCCAGAAAAACAAAGAAAAGTATTGTATTCACTGCGCAGAAATAATTTCTTATTAAGAAGAAATTATTAATTATGAAGCACCAAGATCAACTGTCTCGATTTTGAAGCAAGAGTTTAAATCTAACTTCACTTTAAAATTCAAAACACTTGGGGTTTTTTATTTAGGGACTTCAGAATATACATCGTGACCAAATGACTGTATTCTCCACCAAACAGCTTATTTCAAACGCTTCCTGATATATTTAACTTCACACCTCAACCAAGCTGCATTTATAACTCCAGCTCTTCTAAAAATACGTGCACCAGAGCTCTCAAAGACTTCCTATACTTTCACTAGCAGTGAAAATCCTTCAGGGCTGTTATGTTTAAAATCTGTAACAAGTGACTTTGAATCATACGTTTGTTTCTCCTGCTTGACACTACGTTGCTCCGTTTCCTATCTGACATGGCATCCCTCAGAGGCTCCACCAGAAAAAAAAAAAAAAGAAAATATTTAACAAAACCCCCGTTTCATGTCAATTTGTTTCTTTTTCAGTTAACACCCAGCGGTTCCTCCCAGTTCTCCCTTATCACTCCTGACATGCCTCTCACATGCAAGCAGGAATAAAAAGGGCAGCCATAGATTGGCTGGAGCTTCTGAATTTTATCAGGGCTTTAAATATCAAACAGGTGAGCTGCTTTACCTGCGCTGCATCACGTGAACGCACAATAGGGCAACAATTACCAACACCTGTCCTCCCTGCAAGCCATTTACTGCTGACAATTCCCGGCCCTCTTTGTCCTTGGACTTGGCTATCCGTTCCAGAGCCAGGGAGCTTCCAGGGTGTAGCTTGCCGTCGCCTTGGAGCCCTGCAGCTGCAAGCATTCACCATCCAGCTTGTTTATGTTTTCCCTTCGCTAGTCGCTCTTCAAATCCTCCGGGAGGACCCTAAACCGGGCTGGAACGGCGACCCCGAGCCCGAGCCGCGCACGCCACATCCATCCTGCCATGCGGAGCCGCAGATGCGTGATCCCCGAGCACGGGGAAGTAAACACGAGGAGCCGGGAGCTGTGTGACAGCCCTGTCACACCGGGAGGGAGGGAGGGCGGGCAGCGCTGCCCGATTTCTGCCGGCGCACGGGCGGAGGCCGGGCCGAGGGGCGGCGGGGAGGGGACGGCACCGGCGGCGGGGAGCGGGCCCAGCCGGGGCCGCCGTAAAGAAGGGGGGGCGGGATAAATAAATAAACAGAGAGACAAATAAATAAGCAGAGAGATAGATAGATAAATAGAGAGATAAATAAATGAACCACGGGGCGGAGGCTGCGGGGAAGGAGCCGCGGAACGGCGCGAGTGCCTCCGCGCGGGGTCCGTCATGGAGGTGCCGCCTCACCGCCCGCTCGGCGCGGGGGGCAGCGCGGGAGCCCCCCCCCCCTCACACACACACACCGCTCCACCCGCCCCTCTCCAGCGCTCACCCCTCCGCAGGGCCTCGTCGTAGCCGAGGAAGCCGATGCGGGACTCCTTGGCGCCCATGGTGCCGCTCAGTCCATGGCCGCGGCGGCGCCCGCCGGAGCCGCTATCCCCCCCCCCTCCGCCCGGCGGCGCGGTCGCGCGCCCCCTCAGGGGCGGCTGAGGGGGAGCGGCGGGAGCGGGCCGGGGTTTCTGCAGCGCTCCTCGGCTCTGGGGTTCGCTCCGCGGCCGCAGAGGAAGGAGCCGTGGCCAGGAACGACGCGGCTCTGCCGCGGTGCTGGCGCTTCGGAAGGTGTCGCTTGCGAAAGCTGTCAGCGCTTCCCGTAGCGTGCGCCGGAGAGAGGAGGAAGGCTGCGGTGCGATGGGGCCCTCCCGGAGGAACAGCCCCAGGCTCGCTGCTGTGGGAGGGTGAGAGTCGCTGCACCCTCAAAGTGCGCAGGGAACAGCCCCTCAAATCTCACAGGGAACAGCCCCTCAGTCCCCTCGATCCTCGCAGGGGATGAGCCCTCAGTCCCCTCAAACCTCACAGGAAACAGCCTCTCAGTCCCCTCAGATCCTCACAGGGGATGAGCCCTCAGCCCCCTCAAACCTCACAGGGAACAGCCCCTCAGTCCCCTCGATCCTCGCAGGGGATGAGCCCTCAGTCCCCTCAAACCTCACAGGAAACAGCCTCTCAGTCCCCTCAGATCCTCACAGGGGATGAGCCCTCAGCCCCCTCAAACTCACAGGGAACAGCCCCTCAGCCCCCAAAACCTCACAGGAATCATCCCCTCAGTGCCCTCAAACCGCACAGGGAATCAGCTCCTCAACCCCAAAAAAATCATAGGGGATCAGCCCCTCAAACCTCTCAGGGGGAGCAGCCCCTCAGACCTCTCAGGGCACGGTGGTTCTCCTCAAAAAGTCCTCTAAGTCGCAGGGCTGCAGGCATGGGGTGACAGTAGGAGGTTCCTGTTCCATTAAAATGTCTTTTCACTGTCTGAAACAGAAACACGGGCTGAATTGTAAAATGATCAGAACCACCCCTGCCCTTTGCTGTTCTCCAGCATGTTTGCTTTTAGTATTCAGCCCAGGACTGACACAGAATGGGAGGATTTCCCAAATGGCTTTGTTACAACATTAAGCCTGGTAACCTACCCTGGGTCACTCCCGAGCAGAAAATAAGGAGTTTGAAAGAAAACACTGATTTCTAAGGGCAGCTTGTTCCAAGGATTGTTCCTGCCCTGAAACAAAGCCTGTGAAAACACCAGTTGCGAGTCATTCCCTAAGTTACTGTTTCCTCACAGAACGATCTTGCCACATCGGAGCTGCAGAAAGGTCAAGCTGGAGTTGCCTTCTCGCTGATGTAAGTTCATGCGTAGGTATTTTTATAGCAAACATTCCAAACAAATTTCATATCTGATATGCAAAGCCAGGAATGCTGCTTACAGAGACACAGGCTCCAAGGCCAAATTTCTCCTCGTGTAACCCAAGTGCAAACACACTACAAATGAAATAAGCTCCATAAAGCCTCCTTGTATCTTTTCTGAATTGTTTTTTTTACCTTAGATTTGTGGCATATAAAAAAAACACCATATCATTTTCAAGCATAAAATCTGCCACAAAGGGACCTTTTACCTCTGAGGATCAGGGGGAGAACTTAAGTGATTTTTAAAAATAGAAATGAAATTGGTGGAAATGTACTTCACCCATCAGCCAGTGATTATGTATTTATCATTTAAAGAGTGAAGGTAAATGTAAAGGTAGCAGAGGAATAAAAGGATATAAGCAGCCTTGATACATATATATATCCTCTTATTCCTACCCTACCTTTACAAATCTCTTCTCAGCATAGCTCCTCACCAAGCAGCTTTCAGATTAGATACAAAATAAACTCTTTAAAACATTTGAGAATGAATTCAACAAACATGGCAAAGTGTCAATCAAAAGCCTAAGTTGGCAATACCAGAAACAGCTGGAGAGATCTCTTTTATTAAGTGAAATATTCCATGGCATCCCTACAGCCATGCTCAGTTTGTGATGGATCCCTTTCTTAAAGAATTAACTCTCAGCTGAGGAGATGGGGTTTAATTCCTGACTTCTCTGTCGTGTTCCTGTATGACCTTACATCCAGTAATAATATTTGAATGTTTTGGTTTCTCCCCTGAATTACAAAGATAATGACTGAGTCCCATTTTGCCTGGAACGAGCAGCACTGGGACACAGCCAGCCCCGACCTGGCAGAGCAGTTAGAGACAGCAATTAGAGCAGGAAGCAGCTTCAGTGCAGGGTAGGGCAGCTCCACACCAATTCCTGCTGGATTTCAGGCCAGTTCTCCATGGCTCTTTATCCTCGGGCTCTCACTAGAGAGCAACAGCCAACCCTGAGCACCAAGGCTCACCAGAGACCTGGCATGACATGCCAGGCCTGTTTTGTCTACACCCAGCAGAGAGGGGCCCTGCCAGGACAGCTCTGACACCACACAGTTTGCAAAATTATTCCATTTTTGTCTGTGGTGTCAAGACAGAACCTCTACTTGCAGTTCACACAAACCCTGTTCTCAGGCAGTAGAGATTATCAGGCAGTATAGGGGGTTTAATGACAGCTAAATCATTAAAAAAATGAATGACTGAAATTATAATTACAAATCAGGTCCTGCCACCAGCTTATAGTCACAAACAGCTGACTGGGTACTTGGTGCAAATGAGGAAGCAGAGCCCTCTAGCAAGGAGTTCCTTCCACTGTGAGAAGGAAAAGGAATTGGAGTGATGGTTCTTAATAATGGCTAACATTTCCTATTAACCAAAAAACCCAGACCTCTTTCCAAAGACAATGTGTGACACTTTAGGAAAACCCAACCAAAGCAGCATCCCTCATGTCCCAGAGGTACAGACGGTGTCCAAGAACCAGCAGAATTTTGTCTGAAGAGCATTTCAAAATCATTTACTGGATCCATTGTACCCACGGTGGCCTGCACCAAATTTAATCACAAAGATACTCTGGATTGGAAAGCCAGGCTGGAGGCTCCCGATGGCAGTGTCTTTGTTCAGATTAAATTAAGCATGTTCTCAAAGGCACTGAAGCAAGAACCCAGAGATAAGGCTGTGTGTGCTAACCCTGGATTAGATCTGGCAGTAAGTTTTTGCTGAAGCCTTGTTGGGGAGCACAAGATTAGATGTTGCTGCTATTTAAATGCTGTGTCAAAGGTAAATGAAATGAAGATACAGTGAATTTAGACTTGCATTAGGTGAATTGAGCTCCTCTCTTGTCACAGAGAAGTGCTACGTATGCAAATCGAACTGGGCACGTGTCCTTTGGATTGCTGGAATTTATTTAATTATTCGCTAATCAAAAACTAATTCACAAGCACTTAGCAAATATCTTTAAGTGTCTCTGCATCAGTGTCAAGGATCTGAGGCAAAGCAGGTATTTACTGCTGCACAGGAGCAGCGGGAGCCTGGCAGCGCAGCAGCTGTCAGGCTCCGTGAGGCTCTGCAGTCAAGGCTAAGGCACAGGGAGGAATCCACAGCCCCTGGCTGCAGCTCAGCCCACAGCAGGCATCTGCAAGGAGAAGGGGCCTGGAGCTGCACTGGAAAGGCCTGAACTCAAAAGGGACCAGCCAGAGGAGCTGCTGCAGTGACTCAAAAACACTTCTGAGAAGAGCACTGTAAGGCCTTAGGATTTCCTGATTCATGTTCACTAAAAGAGAAGCCAAAAATGCAACTTTGTTGTTGGGCTCTAAATCTGTGCCTCTTGCCCCAATACCTGTCTCCTCACCCAGGGATATTGTTATTTTTTTACCGACTCTTCTTGGCACTGGACAAACACAGGACAACTTTTACCCCTTCCTGCTTCAGACAGCCCTGACAGGAGTGTGGCAGAGCACATCCCAAATATTTGAGAAGAGTGGAAAGTGGGAGAGAGCTCAAGATGCAATAAGAGGATTCAGTCAGGTCTGCAGTGGACAGAGCTAAATGGTTTTATATCTAATTACAGTGAACTGGTGAATGAGAAAAATACCCCGAATCATTATCTGCCAGTCTGATTCTGATGTTATCAGAGAGAGAGGAAATACAACAGGCTCCCTCAAAGAACAACAGAACAATATTCAAATTGAAACTTCTATCACATCCCACATTTTCTAGGAAACAAGTGGCTTAGAGTGGTAGCAGAGGGTGACAGATTAATATGAACTCAGGGGGAAATAAAAGATTCTTACCAGGTCCCTCCTATTGCTGTCATGAAAGCTGTACTTGCACAGTATTGCCAGTATGAACTTTGCAGTGGAATACTGCAGGGGAAAATGAAAAAAATTAATTCTAAAAAATATTGAAAAATGAAATTAAAGTCATCCCCCTTTGTTGAAGGGACATGCTAATGAAGGCAGTGCTCACCAGGGCTGCAGTGTGGTGTAGCCAGGGGACTCTCAGTGAGATGATGGGGATTTTTTCCCTCGTTTCCAGTTTGAGGGCACTTCTCTTTTCACACCTGCCCTAGAGATCCCTTCTTCCCAGTACTCTCATGACTTCTTGGAGCAGCTGCCCATCTCCACCCCCTGACACAGCTGCCCTGCCCTGGCATCATCCCCTGCTGCTTCCCGGCAGCAGCAGACACCTCATCCCCTCCTTTTTCCTGGTGAGTTCCAAGCGGGGCGGGGACAGCAGAGAACAGCGCGTCCCTCTGTCCCAGAGGGCTGAGCTCTGGTGACAGTTCAGTGTGGGGGTGACAGCCACTGCAAGAGTGACAGCCCTGCTCTGCACACCCACGTGTGCCAAACGCCAGACCTGTACGTCAGGTTGTGGCAGATACAGGAACGGGGCTTGGATGGCACTGCCCAGGCTCCAGAAAAGGCAGCAAGGGAAGTGGGGGCATCCCTCAGAGCTATGGGCTACCTCTGTTTAATCCTCCCTTTCTGGGAGAATTAGTGAATGTTTCTGCTGAGCCACTCCCCCTGGATGTTTGTGTTCAGGGAGCCCGTGACAGGTTTAAAGCTGCTCAGAAGTGCTGCTCACATTACTGCTCAATCCATAATTTCACTCCTGTTATTAATAGTAGGATCTCCACAGCCCAGGAAAGTGAGGCACGTCACACACGTTCACAGCTATTTTAAGGTTCGTGGGTAAGTGGTCCCCCACTTTTCCTGCAGTTGCCTTTGAAAGACAGAGAAGAAAACACCATAAGGCACCCTCCACTCTTGATATTCTCCTAAGCAAGGCTTCCCTGTGCGTGGAAGGGTGGCACGATCACACTTGAGGCCCACAAAGAACAGTGACAAACTCTTCTTTCCTGGCAGACTTTGCTGCTGCTCCTCCAACCCAGGGGTAACAAGGTGCCACAGCTAATGGCAGTCACGAGTTAAGTGTAATGCTTTGGATATTTATAAAAATATCACGTCCTTCCCAATTTTCTATCAACCTGTTTGATTATGCTTTATACAGGGAAAGTGTGACAGAATTAATCAGCCTGCTGGAGTGCACACTAAGGGAACAGATGAGCTTTGGCAAGACTGTTGTTAGCACTGAAAAACTGTGACAAAAAAGAGGCAGACTGCAATCCAGACACGTGTCATTCAGAAAATGAGACATGCTATGATTTACCAACGTACCAACAATTGATGGGAATAGAGATCTCCCATTTCAAAGTGTTGTCTCTGTGTAGATTAAGAGTAGTATCTGTCATCAGGAAACAATGGGAGAAGAAATGTATTTGATAAAAGCAATTCTATGTTCCCTTGTAGGCAGAAACCACTGTGGTGTTAGAATGGAGGTAAAGGATTTCTCTGCAGTTCCATCCAGGGCAGTAAAAAACACCAGCACTGTGACAAGAGGAAGTGCAAGTAATTAATACCAGAAGATCAAATGAAAGGAGTGGCTTTGCACGAGGTGACTAATGTTGACTGTGCTCTGGGAAGGCCCAGATTGCGTGGTGGAAAGAGGAGTTTGTGTGGCCCCCAGAGCACGGCACAGAGTGGGCAGGGACTCCCCACAGCAGCACCACGGGGCACCTCTCCCCTGCAAAGAAAGGGCTGCTTTCTTCTCAGCTCAAAGGCTGCTGCCCACAGCGTCCCCAGCACTGCAGCAGTTTGATTGTTGTGTACAGAGAAAGCAACACCAAAGCATCAAACAAGGACCAACTTGGGGAAGGTTTTGCCAGCAGCTGATACAGTGGGAAGCTCATCTCAAAACAGCAGGGCAGCAGAGCAAAACAAAAGCCACAGAGCCAGAGCTGTTGTGTCGTTTGGCACATCCTGGCACTTCCCTTAATTCTGCTTCAGAACTTGCAAGGGAAGGCCAAAGCTTCTTATTTGCTAATTAAGGTTTCACACGACTCAAACATTGAACAAAAGACATCCCCAAACAGAGAAACCTGCCAGCCTTCGTGCCCCTGCCAACAGGCTGATGTCTCAGTTCAGTGCTCTCCCAACACAGAGTGAAAGAGCTCTGGACAATGGCATATCCAAATGTGCACACACACACACATTTTTATGCTGGCATGCACACATGACCTCTGATCAGATTCTGAAAGTTCCACCTCCCTGTTTTTGTTCAGGACTCCAGACACCCTACAGACAGGGGTGAAACAGGCATTAAAACAGCAGACCTCTGTTTTATGGTGTCAAATGGCTAATAATAGTAATTAAGGATCTTAAAGTCCTTTATCAAGAGGCATTATCTAAGATGGCATCATGCCTGTAATCAGAGTCAATGAAAAACTGTTTGATCAAGCCAAGAAGGCAACTAAAACAGTCTGATGAGTTGCCATCTGCTGAAGCCACACCACCCCCTGAATCCAGCAGTGAGCCGCTGCAGGACACTGACAGCCAGGTTGTTTTCCTGTCATTTCAGCTGAGCACTCGGTGCCTGTTGTGTTCAGAGGACTCCCAAACCCAAACATGACAGATCACTGTTGCTCTGACAGCATTTTGCATTGCTGCTCTTGTGGATGGATTGTAAAGGTAAAGCATTAGGGGTTAATCAGAATTTTGCCTACCACATGAAGTATTTGCATGTATATTTATTTTATAAAACGTATGGTTAATTGATCCATAAAAGCCTTTGGTACTCACTCAGCCTCTGGGTAAAAGTCCAGGTACACCCAGAAGAGCTTTTGACTCAGCAATTGTAATAAAATTTAGGCCTGGAGTATGGAGTAGACTCTTGAGCAGATTCTGAGCAATAGAAGACAAGTTCAGGGTAGATGAAGGTTGCCAAATTGTCACAGTTTGAAAAAGAAAATTGGTATATTCAAGGAAGGAGCAATTTGAAGTTCTTACAAAGCACTTGGACACCACAATGATGGGCAAGAGTTTCTTCACTCATTTTGCTTTCTCTTATCACTTCCCAGCTGTTTCTTCTACTTTCAGGTAGTTTCAATTTATCCTTCTATTTTTACCACACAGTTCACTAACAGCCTTGGAGTTGAGATTCTTCTGGCTTTAGTGATGAGGTGCCAGCTGTGCATCCCTGCAAGCTGGTGCGTGCACGACCTTGAACATTTCTGGGAAGCCAATCAGGAGGTGCTTTCAAACAGTTTGCTACGTCCCAGAGAGCATCTCTCTGGTTTTAGCTTTAGGTATATATCACATTATAACATGCAGAGCATTGTGCAGGCATTACCCAGCTCCTGCCAGCCCAAACCCCTCCCAGCCTGTACCCTGTTATTGCCTAAGAAACAGCTCCTCCATTCCACTGAAGCCAGCCCAGGGAGTTCTTTCTGCTTCCTTCTCTGCAGGAATATTAAACCAGAATGAGAATGAAGAGAGCTGTTAATTTTATGTCACGGCAAGGAAACTGAAGGTCTTCAGATCACACTTTTTCCTCAGTCTTTTAATTGCAAAATTATACTTCAAGATTTGACACAAGTTTCTCACCTCCCTGTTTTCAAGCTACTAGCAAGCAAAACCAGACAAAAATACTTCTTTTTTTCCTACTCTGCAGAGCCTGTTAATTTCAGATAGGTGAAATATTGCTAATTAGTAGCATATTCTAACAGAACTTGTGATTTTACAGAGAGCTATGTCAAACTAAACCAGATGAGGGGTCAGAATGTGCCAATCTTTTCATTGTTGTCACTGTGATTTATGTTCCCCCTCAACATGTGCCCTCCCAGGTTCTTGGAGGCCTTGGCTAGCACTGCTCAGCTGCTCCACAGTTATTCCTCACGCCAGATCCAGCAAGGAGACATTCACAGCACGCTCTTCTCACATTTTCTCTAAACATTAGGTACAACAGCAGAAATAGCAATTGGAGATTTAGAAGCAAGAGACACGGGAATCTGGGTGGAAACAGATGACTAACAGAATTTCTGCTAAATAAAAACATGAAAAGGGGTAAAAAAAAAGATTTCTGAGCAGACATAATACCTTTCTTTTTCTGGATAAGCACTAATCTAGGCCCTGGAACACTCCCACTTCTGGATATGATGCTTAGTAACATGCTTCTAATTTCAAATTAGATTTTAATGAAAATAATGGGAATTCTCCTTAAATAAGTTAGAATGAGACTTCCTCTGGTGTCCTCCAGGTCTCACACTTTTTACCTTTGCCATGAAACTACCTCCACAATGCTTGACCAGCAGTGTGCCCTGACCCTTCCCTGTCATCCCTACAGCAGTATCTTTCTTTTTGATTAAACTTCACTTTCCCAGCTGGAAATCCATGCCCTGCCTCAGGATAACACCCTGCAACAGGATCTGAGCATCTAGAGACCCCATGGGGAGTTACACAAGCAATAAATCATCAAACCCCTTTTTTTTGGGCAGATTAATGTCCTCTGAGTTACTCCTGCCATAAGCTAGAAACAGCAGAATATGCACTTCTTTGCATTCCAGCATGTTGTGGGAGATCATAAAGGCACTTAATATATTATTTAAGCCATTTAAGCAAGATAGCACAACTGCTGTAATTAGCAAGAGTTCTCCAAATCCCCATATGCCAGACAAAGGCTCACGTTCAGCATTTCCAGGCTGGTAGGAGGGAATCAGAACATCACAGAAATAAAATCCATGCTCTGCTTTTTATTCCTCCTGCCAATCTCAGCAGAGCCTATGTTTCACTACAGCTACTCCCCTGCACCACCCTACAAGACACCCAAAGCATAACATAAAGAAGATTGCCCTTTTTTGGGCTTATTTTAAGAATAACAGGCTACTCAAAGCTTTAAGAAAGAGAAATGAAGCCACTTCTCTTGACACCTAATTCTGCAGGCTGGAGGGGAACTTCTTGCTTTTTCCTTTAAATAAAGCCAAAATAGAAGAAAACCAAAACTTGACTTCCTCTAGAAAATCCACGAGCTGAAGTCAGTGTTAAGTGGGAGTTCAGCAGCAGCCAACCTTTGTGCACGCAGGGTCAGGCCCAGGGCAGAGGGATGGAGGCACAGGAGTGAGGGCAGACAGGCAGGGTGAGCACGCAAAGGGCAGCAGGGACAGCACAGGGACAGACCTGGATGCTGCCACAAGCCTGAACTTCCCTCTGGAAGGACACAAAGAACAAAAACAAACAAAGAGCATCGCTGGGACAGACACCAGGATCTTCTAAAGGAGCAGGGAAAGGAGACACAGAGCTGAGAGCCTCTGCCACCAAGGGGGTGTGAAATTGGGGTGCCATGGCTCAGAAAGGGGAGATGCTGTCCCCTGCCCCATTCCCCAGGCAGCACCAGCTGGGAAATGTGTACCAGGCTCATCATTTTCCAGGCTTCTCTGAGTCACTGGGGAGAGGAAGTGACCAAGGCTGGTATCACCTAGACAGTTCATGTTTCATCATGCAAAAGATTAACAAAAGAAGTCAAATTATTTTCAGTACAAAGAGATACCCAACTTGTTACAGATTTGATTTTATAAGTAGTACCTAAGGGATGGGCTCATTAACATCTCATTAATAATGCCTATTTTAATTTGCATAAACCCCTAAAAACTTACAAAGCACGATAAAAACAAAAGCTTTTAACTATCCTGTTTCTCACAGGCGGCAAGTTGAAGTGTGGAGGAAGCTGATAATGCTTTTTCAGTTCCTGAGGACTTCAAGCAGCTATGAAAGTTATAGGACATCAGCAGACACCAACAATCAGCTCACAAACAGCTGCTGAGAAGTTGAAGACAAACATCTACAGAACCATTGAAGCATAAATAGTGCAGGAGCACCTGAAAATACAACTGAGGGATGGGCTCATTAACATCTCATTAATAATGCCTATTTTAATTTGCATAAACCCCTAAAAACTTACAAAGCACGATAAAAACAAAAGCTTTTAACTATCCTGTTTCTCACAGGCGGCAAGTTGAAGTGTGGAGGAAGCTGATAATGCTTTTTCAGTTCCTGAGGACTTCAAGCAGCTATGAAAGTTATAGGACATCAGCAGACACCAACAATCAGCTCACAAACAGCTGCTGAGAAGTTGAAGACAAACATCTACAGAACTATTGAAGCATAAAATAGTGCAGGAGCACCTGAAAATGCAACTATTGAGAAGGAGCACAGCACCAGAGGTTGGTCACTGATCCCTTTGGGCACTCTGGAAGGTTTGCCTGCCTGTGTGTCCCAGCCTGGGAGCACTTGGAACACACCTGATTTTGCCAGAGGTGGATAAAAGAGATGCAGATGTGTTTCTGGCTTCCCCACGCCACTGGTCACCAATCACACTTGTGTTTAGCCCACATTAATTGCAAACAAGTGGTTAAATGAGCAGTTCCCTACAGGTACCAGAAAGGAACTGCTCTGGCAGTTCAGATGCCTCCAATGATGCCACACAGAAACAATAACTGGCCCAAATTCTCTTTCAGATCCCTTCCCCTGACACAAGATTTGGTAACTGGAGCCAGTAGGCACCCAGCTGCAGGGAGAGGATCATCTTCATCACCCTAAAGCACCAGGAAAGGAATTGCCAGGTGGAATTAGCAAAGCCTCCACCCCTACAGTCCGAGCAGTTGCTGAGTATCATTAATCATTCCATCAAATGGAGCATTCACCACCCTCCTGGTAAGAACAGGTTGCTGGAAAACATTCCCCATTACAATTCCTATGTGGCATTACACTGCAGTACATCTGGCAACAGTGGTTGGGGTTGATGTTTAACTAAACCACATGCACAGTGCAGAATACCTGTACATTTATCTGTGTTTATCAGCCCTCCTTCCTGTGACCTATCAGTACATAAATACTGTATCAGATGCCTGCATATATTATATACACCAGATTCATCACATTACACCTGGTAATCATGGTAAACCTGCCCAAAGCAGCAAATAACAACCAGCAGCAGACACACAACATCTTCACAACTGCTTCCTTTTTGGCTCCATGCCTTCTCTGCACTGCAAGAGCTGCTGCACCAGAGGAGTTGGTTAATGTTTGCACTTGCACAGCTCCTGGAAGATGAAGGCACTCAAACTCAAATAGAGAAATTAATATTCACAGAAGAGCTGTCAGGGGAAGAGTTTTCCCTAAGGTGCACTGTTTCAGTACAGTGTGTTTGACTGGCACTTGGGCTCCTTTCCTTCATGGGGAGAAACAGGAGAGGCATAATCTGTTTGTACTCTGATTTTCCCCATGCAATTAGAACATCCTTTCAAAGCATTCCTGTTGTGGGTAGGCAGGATAATCTGATAGATTCCCAGAGATGTGGTCTGCCTTATGCCACCTTCCAGCAGGAGAGGCTTCCCAGCAGAAAGCAGTGTTGTCTCCCAAGGAGGGGGAAGGACACAGACACAGGCTTCTCATGCCTGATCTCACAGGAGTGAACCAGGTTGATGGACAACTTCTAAATACAGCAAGATCCTCAGATGAAGGCTGGCCAGAGAAGTCCATCTGTGCCTCCCACTTGCATATCCCTGGCTTTGGCTGAGCTCCGAGTGCAGCCAGCACTGAAAGGGAGAACAAAGCCTTGGATTTGCACGGGGAACTCAAGGCCCTCTCAGTCCTCTGCAGAGCAAAGTGTACACATGATAAGGCAGAGAGCCATTCCATGCTGCAGTCACATGCCATGTGGAGGCTATAATCTCACAAGGACACAGATATGGCCATGCAAATATGGGTTATGCCTGTACTAACATCCAGCTCACGTCCCTGGAGCTCCTAAATGGCTTTAATCTGGCTGCTGATGCAGGTGAAAGCTTCTGCTGGAGAAGCTTCATTTCTCCTGGCCGTGATCAGCCAGGAACGTGCTACCCTTTGGCACCTTGGCTGGAGAGGTGAGGATGTAAGCTGGCTACTCCTTGGTTCCAGTCCTTGCAGGGGAGAAGGAGAGGAGCTGCCTGTCACAGTGGGGACAGGTGACACGACTGCAGGCAGCAGGCACAGCAAGGGGGTGCTTAGGAACAGGCATTGAAAAGCAGCTGCATTTTCAACACCCCCTTCAACCAAACCACTTCTAACAGAGCCCTCACAAGAAGCAGGCTGAGGCAGCACAGCTACACTCAGAGCTGTCACCTCTGCTTCCCTCTGCAGAGCTTACCTTGTGTAAAGTAACTCCTAACACTGTGAAATCCTGGCCTGGGTTAAACAACTGTAATGTAGCTCAGATGGTCCAAGCAAACCTCACTGCAAAGTTAGCAAGAAATTGCCTTTGCATCTGCTCAGCACCTGCCTGTGAAAGGCTCCTGCATCCAGAGCTGACAGCAAAATCCAGACAAGGGGGAGGAAGAAAGCAGACACAGGAGGCAAAATGCCACAGACCTCTTAAGGGGGAGGGCTTGTCTTAATGGATTTTTGTCATTATTGAATCCAGCCATGGGAAAAAGCCAAACTTCCCCACGACAGCCTCAGAACAAGAACCTGCCTTTGTTTCAAGACCCACCCATAGGTGCCTTCCCAAGGTGATACCTGCTCTGGGCATTTGGCTCAGCAGGAGCTCAGCACCACTGGCTGCACGAGGAATTCCTGACCAAGATCATCCCAAAACTTCTGCCAAGAGCAGCACCAGGCCCTCGAGACCTCAGAGAGAGAGAGACAGAGAGAGGGAGAGAAAGGCCTTTGTGCAGCCTGGGGATGACTGTGGGTGCCAGAAGCGACCTGGCACAGGAGCCCAGCTGAGTCACAGCTGCAGCAATTGCACCAATTGTCCCAGGGACACAACAATTGCACTTGTCTGACTGGTCAGGCCATGATGGCAGCACAGGGCAGCTCTCTTTGTGAAAGCATTTCGCCTGGAAATAAATTTCCAAAACAAAATCCTTTTAACTCCAAGCCTTTCCAGACTTCTCCCAGTTTACTGAGAGATGTCATGCAGGAGAAAGAAATCTCACTGCTGTTGGCTTTCACCATCATCTGTGAAGGAGATAACCCTGAATTCCCACTACACTGGGATGGAATTGAGGTCTCAGCTCCAGCCAGCTCCCTAAGAGCACCCAAGGTGCAGCCCAAGGTCCCTGTTCCCCATCAGAACAAAAGGGGTTTTTCCCCATCAGAATAAAAGTTTATTTTTGTGCAAAGGGCCTGTCAGTGGTTACACTCCCAAGCCAGACCTGAGGAGGAGGATGAAGTTTGGACTCATGCACAATCCACATGTTGCCTTCTGCTCTTTGGGGGGAATTTGTCTCCCTCTACTCAGGATGGACACAAAGCAACTGCACAATCTGCAAAAGCACATCAAGAACAAGCAAATTGATGACAAAATGGGAAACTTAATCCCCAAAAGGTGTTCCTGCTGTACTGATTTAAGGGGATGACCATACCCTGTGGCTTGATCCATGTCAAAGGAGAAGCCTGCTCCTGAGAAATCTGTTTATCAGCAGTACTTTCCCTGCTGCTCTGGGTGGCTGTGTGCTGTTTACAGTCTTTAGAGCTGTTTGCTCATCCCGTGCTTCCAGTCATGCTGTACAGATCCAATCTGATCCATAGCTTTATCTGGTTCTGTAGGAATTAACCTTTGAAACAGGCCACAAGATCAGGTACAGCCTGGCTTGGCCAGCAGTGATCTCTGTGCCTGAGCATCACCTGCACAAGGGAAGGAAAGTACAGCAAGTTCCCTGAGACACAAACTCCAAAGGGTTAACTCAGAGCCAACCATAAACATATCTCCTGAGCAAAGGCTGGGTGCTCCAGGAAGTTCAAAGGTCCACAAGAAACATGGACTTTAGGGAGTTCATTAAAAAATAATTAGAATCAGATATGCACAAAAAAAAAAAAAGAGTGTAAACTTTTTGTTTTGAGGAAATTGTTTTGAGGAAACCAGAAAACAGGGACTGCTTTGTTGGGTTACTGGGACATTTGCCTGCTTCAGGTTTAGAAGGGAACTGTGGTCATTTGATAGCTGGCAGTGATAAGGCCACAAAAAGTGTGAGGCCACAGGTAAACAGCTCTCTCCTCCAGCTAGAAAGGGGAAGCCAGGCAGCTTTTGCTTTTAGTTCCTGGGGAAACAAAACCATTTATTTCTTTTTAAGGCTCCAAGAAGATATCCCACCCAGCAGGGAATCAAACCTACTGTAAAGAAAAATCCCAAACCCGAATTCCTGCTGGCAGCAGAGACACCCGAGAGGAGAGGAGAGGCATTAAGAGAGCAACTGGCACCCAGGGAGGCAGGTGGTGACAGATGCTCCCTGCAACTTGGGAGGGCTGCAGAGAGGAAACCCAGCCCCATTTCCAGCACAGCCCTGGGACACGACCTCAGCTAAGGATGAACCCCACTGCCCCCTCAAAACCCCCCAGACACCCTCCCATGCTTTTGCTCCACCAGCAAACCCCCCAGCTGATCTCCCCGCGCCGGGCGCTGGGGCAGGCTCAGCCCGGGGCTGTGCGGGGATTCCGGGGATGCTGAGGAGCACCCAGCGAGCCGGGCTGGGCCGGGAAGGGCCAGCGGGAGCCGTGACAAACCCCGTTATGTAACGGGTGACAAATGCCTTTTGTTATGCAAGACAAGTGGGAGAAAAATCAGCATTTTGCGACTCCCTGAGCACAAACAGGCTGCGGCTCCGGGGGGCACCGGCACGCTCCCAGCAGCACAAATAGATGCCTTGGAAACGCCTCCTGGTTTGGATGAGTCAACAGAAAAATGCAGAATCGATATTTAATTTTAAGGGATTGAGGTTGTCAGCACGGTCATTTGATAATTTGGGGGGTTTTGTTAAGGAGAGAGGCCGGTGGGCAGCCATCCACCAGCCTTGCTCATCAGTCATCTAAAATGAGGGATCTACATCCCCTTTGCTCAGCAGCTGGGGTGCTAGGCTTTTTTAATTAAAAATTTAAATTGGTATTAATAGAATTTCGTAATAAAACTAATAAACCACAAAGCCACACATTTGAATTTAAGCTCTGGTCCCAGCTCTGAAAATCCAGGTGAAAACCCAGCTCCAATCCTCAGCTTGGGGCCAGGACAGAGAATCCTCTGCCCTCTCCTGGCTCCTGTACGTGGCTGAAAGCTGCAGAAATCAGCCTCACGTCTCGCTCTGGGAAAGAAACCAGGCTCCCGCGCTCTCTGAAAGCGTTTGGGTAAAAAAACTAAAACTCCAAGCAGCGTGACCCCCGGCACCAGGAAGGTTCTGCATCCCCAGGGATGCCCAAGGGATTCGCAGCTCCCCGTCCCACCCTGGCACGGGGACCCAGCGCCACCCCCTGCTCCCGGTGCCACACGGCGACAGTGACATCCAGCGGCAGCGCGCACCCACCCGCACCCGCGGAGCGCAGCCCCGAGCGGAGCCCGGCGTTCAGAGCCCGCAGTGCCAGCTCCCGGCATTCAGAGCCCGCAATGCCAGCTCCCTGTGCGGGAAAGCTCTGGGGCAGAAGCGAGGGCACAGAGGGCTGGGGGCACCGGGGAGCAGGGACAGCACTGCCAGCAACGCTGGCAGTCCCGGGACAAAGGGACAAAGCCAGCACAGGGACGGGACAGTCACCCTCAGCTCGGTGCTGCTGCCCCGCAGGGCCGAGGTTGAGCAAGAGCTGTTGGCCAAGCGTGAGTCAGCCGGCGGTGCTCGCTCACGTTGACACCTCTAAATGTGGGTTTGCGTTCCTTCTCTTTCGTTTCAGCAATTCTGCTGTGCTTCGGGAAACCGAGCTGGTTCCAGAGCTCACAGGAAAGACTCTGAAGCAGCTTTAAACGAACTGCATCTTCAGGAACAGCCAGTCAGAGAGACTGTCACCTCAACACCTGCAAGGTCACCGCCCAGCAGGGGCAGGTGAGGCACTCACACTGTCACACTGTCACAGAGCAGGGTGAGCAGCTTCCTGCTCAGGGACAGGTGAGGCACTCACACTGTCACACACATTTTCCTGCTCACACAGAGCCTTTACACCTGTGATTTCTACAGCAGGATGAGCAGGTGCAGATGTGATCAGGGCTGGAGGAGCTGGGCAGGTTGAGCTGCTGTCCCAGACATGGGAGCAGGGCAAACAGCAGCTGGAGAAGCTGCTCCAGCCAGGAGGGAGTGAGGAATGAGCCATCCCTGTGGTGTCAGCTGGCAATTAGGGTGTCCCTGCCTTGCAATCTGGATGCTCCAGCATAGCTGTGGTTTGCTCTGGGCCCACCCCAGCCCAGCCACACGTTTGTCTTCCCCAGCAAAAATGCAGCCCGACCTGTAGCAGGGTGTTTGTGCCTCCCAGTCCCTGCACTGGTTACTCCAGCACCTGCACTCCCCAAAGGTGGAATGAGACAGGGAGGGAGAGGCAGCTGCTGGCAGCAGCGGCTGTGCCACAGACAGGAGCCACAGGCTGCCCGGGAAGGAGGATCTGTCCCACATGAACCTATTTTCAAGCTGCTAAAACACAGCCACATGTCCTGTGGGAGTTCTGAGGCACTCAGAACCTGCTCGTTTCTCATCTCTTCTCTCCCCAGTCTCTCTCTTTACCTCTGAAATGTCCAATCTGGTCTGTAACAGCTCAGAGGGAGCGCTTTAAATATAAATAGGTAAACTAAAAAGTCAAAAGCCAAGAGCTGCCAGACAACGTGATGCGGGAGGCTGTGTAGGAGTCCCCGGTGCCCTGGAGGCTGCGCGGCTCCGGGCCATCCTCCCCCGCCCGGCTGGGAGACACCAGGCAGCCAGTTCCTACCGAGAGAAAGGCACCAGAGACACAGAACGCGTGAAACGCCCCAAATCAGCGCCATTGAAATGCGAGGAGCATCCAGGGGTTGGGATTGCTCCCTGCCCTGAGCCTGGCACGGCCCAGGAGGGCAGCCCGCAGCTCCTGCTGCTCTGTGCTCCCTGACAAGGCAGCTGTGGCATGCAGCCACGCACAGAATCCACCCAGCCAAACCCCCAGGGGACAGACCGGGCTCACCAGGGCCAGCTCTGCCTTCCAGTCACTTTAAGGGGTTTTTCAGGTTCCCAGACACCATCAGAGAGGTCAATGGAAATGAATCGGTTCAGCATCCTCACCTGAACAAAAGCAGGGAATCCAGACTGTCTCCATGGTTTCCCAGAAGCACAAAGTCCTGCAGTACTTGCAGTGTCATAGCAACAAGCTCCAGCCCAGCCTAAAGAAAATTCTGTTCTTTTAGACCACACGATGTTATTTATGATGATCCTGGAGATCCCTAAGAGTTGTGCATCAACACCAGGACTGGATGAAGGCTCTGCAAGTACCAGACCTACCTTCAGTCCATCATTCCTCTTGTATAAACCCCAATCGTGGCAGAGCAGCTTTTGGAGGCAGCAGCAGCTGCTCCTTTCCTTGCTGGGGCAGAAACTCCTCTTCCAGGGACTTGGCAGGGCTGGATCACCACTGGGCTTGATGATCCCAAAGGTTCTTTCCAGCCTGAATGGTTCTGGGGTTCTGAATGACTCTGGCTGCGCTTTGGGGTTGGCCACATTTGATTCATGGCTCAATCCAGGCTTTAAGGAAACATCAGAAATATCAATAATTTGTCCCAAAAGTCTTTCAGTGTGACCAACAAAACCCCCAAAGATCCTCCACTCCCCCTGCTGGAGTGGGACAGCTGGGTGGGGCTCAGTTACTGCCTTCAGCTCTGAGCCAAGCAAGAACAAACCCTCCCAGACCCCTTTGGGGGACCATTCTCAGAACCACGACAACAAATTTCCTTTTTAAATATGCATCCCACCCCCAAACCTGGCCAGGGGCCTGGGATTCCTGCCTGTGCTGGCCCTGGGAGGATGGTGTGTCCCACCCTCCCAGGGCAGCAGAGCAGACACTTGTGTGGTGCAGGCCTGGATCTTGAGGAATTTTCCCTGGATAACAGAATAATGCCTTCAGCTAAAGGTGAACCCAGTGCAGGAATGCCTGTGGATGCCTCAGGAAAACACTGGCTGCCCTCAAAGTGTCACACTGGCTTAAGAGGGAACTGAGCAAGGCTGCTCAGGACTTGGATTATCCCACAATTTTTCCAGTAGGGTTTGAGGTGACTTAGAAGTGACAGGAAAGCTCTCAAGGAAAACTGAGCTCTGCCAGAAATAACCTCAGTTTCCTGACCAGGAGACGTGGGCAAAGGAAAGATTTCACCTTCAGGGGTTCCTGCTCCAAGCAGGATCAGAAGAGCTTTGGAATAAACTGCAGCATGCAATGTTACAGGGATTGCCTTTCCTGCTGCTACATTGCAGATGATGGCAGAGGCAGCTGGACTTGCTCTCCCCAAAATCAGCAGAACAGCATAATTCATACCTCAGTTTTCCCTTCACCAGGGCAGAACTTTCAGGGTTGCTGCTGTTAATTCCTCCTTTACTCCAGCAAACAATTATTTTGGAGTCTGCTGTTGTTGGCTTTTTCCTGGCAGTCTGGATGCAGCACTCCCCAGTTGTCCTTTCCTTGGGGAAGAATTGAGAGAGCTGCAGGAGCACTCACAGCCAGCCAGGGAGATCCATTTCCATCATGGAATCCAGGCTGCAGGAGCAGAGCTGGCACTGCCACAGCCCCAGGGACTCCGGGGTCACCTCGTGAGCCTGGCCTGGGCTCTCAGAGCCAGGAGAGTGTCCCAGGGCCTTTAAAAATGGAAATCTCAGCCCTGTGAGACAAGGGGAGGCCTCTGCACAGCTGGGGAGCTGCAGGTCACACAAACCTGATGGTTTAGAAATAAAAAACCCCAGAAATGCTGACTTTTAACCCACTCTGAGCTCAGGCAGCCCCACAGGGTGGTGGTGCCAGCACACACTTGCCAGAGAGAATTTGTGGCTAATTTAGGGGGGCAAAAAAAAAAAACAAACCAAAACAAGAAGCAGAGAAGGATCTGGGAAGGATCCACATCCTGGAAGTCCCACAGGCTCCCCCTCCCCCTGTCCACACTGCACAGCTTCCAACACAAGCCCCACTTGTAAGGGCTCACCCCAAAGGCAGGGATCCCACCTGTCCTGGGCAGCACTGTGGGAAGGGAGCTGTCACCAATCGAGTGCAGATACTCCAGGCTGCAGGAACACTCTATTTATTAGGTCAATATTCCATTTGAGCAATACAGTTACAGAATATCACAATGCTGGTTACAAACATAGGATGGCTCCGTGGGCACAAAGGATGGTGGTGAGAAGTGGGGTACGAAACCTTCCTGACACCACAGGGAGGGGCTGCAAGGTCTAGTAATGAGCAAGATATTTTATATAAATGAACGTGGCACTACAGGTGGAGATTCTGGGTTAGAGGTGGGTTTGTGTCATTAGTTCAATTTATACAGTTATACAGTTCAAGCAACATATTTTTCTTTTTTTTAATGCTATTAAATTAAAATCCCCTGTAGTTCAATAAAGTATAAAAATAGTACTGAACCCGGTAATATTCAATAAAATGTAGAATTCATTCACATCATTAAGTAGTAAAGAAATTGTAAAGTTGTAGTTACCATGGCAACATTGCTTCCCAGAAAGGAATATACAGAAAAGAAAAGTTACACATATGGTACCTGCGACGAGTATTAGCGATCCAACACTGAACTTGTGCACCACAAACCAAGTTTCTAAATATCTCTATATATTTATATAGTATATATCTTTTTCATCTTTAAATTTACTTTTGAAAAGAAAAAGAGAAAATGTGCACTTCAACAAACTCACTAAGGCCACTCATGCTATAGATACGGAGGATTGGAGGAGTGGAATACGAGACCCCAGAGCACACACTTCACACCACCAGGGACACCTGTGGCTCTGCCCAAAACGTTCCTGAGATTTAGGGACAAAAGCATTCCCAGTGCTGCCAATTCTTTGTAGGTATTGGAGTTTATTTCTACATAAAGGAAATTTTCCCCACTTCTCCCCAAAGCCCTCCCAGGGCTCAGTGGCTCAAGGGCCCCAGGAGTGTCAAACACACCCCACAATGCAGAGGCAGCTTTGAACTGACACTGGCCAGGAATTTTCTTGTAAGGGAATGAGATAAAACCAGGCTCTGCACAGGCAGCAGAGGGAAGGATCTGCTGGGAGGTTGGAACCAGCAGCACCTGCCCTGCCCTGCCCAGCCCTCCACATCACCCCAGGGAGGCTCTGCCAGCAGCTTCCCCCGTTTGAGGCACGGTCAGATTTCCTTCCTGTGCTCTCCCACACTCAGGACTGAAACAGGGAATGAACTTCAATGTGCATTTTGTACCATGAGAAGCAGCAATGGCACCTCGAGCAAACTCCCCCTCACTGACCCAAACAACCTCACACAAAGTAAAATATTGAGGGTTTAACTTCATCACTAGTGAAAATAATTTACCTTAAGGTGACACCCGTGCTCACCACTTGCACCCAGTGACTCTGGGGTGATTCCTTTACTCACCTTCAAGGAAAGGATGCATTTCACAGGATTGCCACTGCCAGCACCACACAGCCCCTGCGTGGGCAGGTTGTGTGCCTAAAAATGCCAACCATTCATTCCTGGATGGATGTTCCGCCTGCCAGGCCCCCAGCCCAGAACTGACCCAGCTGTGCATGGAAAACCTGCCCTGGGCTGTGCCAGGAGGGGAGAGAGGAGCCAGGGGTGCTGGAAAACCCCAGAGGGGAACAGAGGGCACTGCAGCCCCTGCTGCCAGCTCTGCTGGGGCACAGCGGGGCAGGACTGGAGTCTTGCTACAAGATCCACCCAACGAGTCCTTCACCTGCCTCTGGCACCATCCCAGCAGTGTCCCACTCCTCAAAAGCACCAAACTGAGAGCAGAGAGAGCAACAGAAGCAGCAGCAGCACAGCAACCCAGGTGCCAACACAGAACCAGCCCAGACTGGCTCCAGGTGCCAACAGCTCCACCTGGGAGACACAGAACCAAACCCCCACGGGGTGAGGTCTGTGCTGTCCCAGCCACAAATGCGGGGCAGGTCCTGAGCAGGGGCAGCAGAGCTGTCCCGGGAGGCAGCAGAGCTGTCCCTGCAGCAGCAGAGCTGTCCCGGGAGGCAGCAGAGCCGTCCCGGGAGGCAGCAGAGCTGTCCCTGGCAGCTGCAGTGTCATCCTGCCAGCCCCCACGCCCCAGCAGTGTCAGCAATCAGCCGCAGCCACCCTGCTCCAGAAGGGAGCTGCCCCAGCCCCAGCCAGGATTCCCTGCAGGCACAGGAGGAACACGCTGGAGCTCTCAAGGATCACCACAGCAGCCCCAGCCAAGTCCTCTGCCAAAGGCATTCCCAGGAGCTTTAGGACCTTCCTTCCTTCCCCTCCTGCCAGCCCAGGGGATGCACGGGGCAGGCAGCAGGCTGAGGCAGCTCTGGGGAAGGACACGGAGCCACCAAAAGCCAGGAGCACGGCTGCTGCCCGGGCTGCCCTGCCAGGAGCTGCCCTAAGGCAAACCACACACGGGGACACAGCCAGGGCTGCAGCAAGAGCAGTGGCACTGGTGCCACACGATGCTCCCATCCCAAGCACACCTTTGGGGGTCCTTAGCCAGCAGCTGGAGACCCCAGGAACACAGAGAGGGTAAAAGATCTCAGCCCATGTCAGTGTAAAGCCACACACCCAGCTGGCAGCTCCAGCACTTCTGCAGTACATAATCACTCAGGTTCTCTAGGACAGCTTTAAGCCACTTTGCTGCCCAAGTCCTGACACTGTTACACACTTTGTTTAACTTTAAATACCTTTTAATAGGATTTAAGAACTTTATAACTTGTCAGTGCCATGGGCATTCAGGGAGAAGGTTTTGCCTTGTATAGCTGAATTTGCCTGTAGCTCCTAACAGTCATAAACAAAAACTGCTATAAATAAATCACATTTTAAATCCACACATAACTAAGTTGGATTTTCACTGAGCAGCTGTTGCAGACACACTGCAGTTAAGTCCTAATACCACAGGGGGTTTTATGCAAATACTTCTTTTCACCTCAGTGAAGATATTCTAAGTATGCAATCATTAATCTGCATTCACTAATTACATCATTGCATCTTAAAGTTGATATTACCCAGCCTTTCCCCCCCAAAAAAAAACACTTGAAGGCACCAGAATATGAACTATTGGCCTGTAAAATGTCACTCCTTAGAAGAGCCATTAAGCTCCAAGTCATGTCCAAAACCTCTATTTCTTCCCTGAAGATCACCCAGCAGCTTTCCCTGCCACAAACCCCACCAACCAATGAAAAACCAGACCCCAAGCAGAACACCCAGTCCCACAGGAAGAGCTGGCCAAGCCCCAGCAACAACCAGCCAAGGTACAAACCCTGAAAAGAGGGGCAAAGAAACCCCCAAACTGACAGAAGCCACAGACTCCCAGCCCTGGGCACTGCTGGCACAGCCGAGGTAACAGCAGCGAGTCGCTTCTAGTTTGTGTCACACAGACTTGCAAATATTCCCCAACATCAGGAAATAAACCCACAACAGCACCTGAACTCAAACCCACACAAGCACACGGCCCCCAGAACAGAAGAATTAAGACAAGCTAGTGAGAGAGGCATTCTCAGAGGTCTGTACAGCTGAGCTCTGCTTCGTAAATTAAGGTAAGGAATCGGTTTCTGGTTGTACTCTTGTTTAATGTAGAAATGAAGCATCACAAAAAAAAAAGGACCTGTTGTGCTTTTTGGCATTTTTCACTGACCCCTGCGACCTGTACAGTAAGTTGTGTTGTCCAGAAACAGAAAATGGAACTGGATTGGAATACAAAACTCTTCACTGGTATAAACATGGTATGGCCTCTGTGAGCAGAGAAAGAGCCCGTGGGAGGAAAGGAGGAGTGGCTGCAGCAGAGTGGAGCTGTGGCACTGCCAGGAATCTCTGCAGAAGCTCACTGGGTACAGACAAACCATCAATTCACTTCCTAGCTCTGGATCTATCACATGGATATCATTTGCACTGATCAGACACCTAAATGAGAGAGTTCTACTGTCAAAGTGAATGCAGGGGCAGAAATATTAAATTAAAGCCACTGGTCCAAAAGCGGTTTCTAGCAGGCTGGTCCACTGAGGTGTCCTGGTCCTGCTCAGGGGGAGCACTGGTGGTGGCACCGAGGACACTGTGCTTGCTGGTCTGTGGGATCTGTCTGGTCCAGTTCAGGGCATCCACAACAGCACAGGTGGCACTCAATGAGCGGGTGGTGCTCTCCAGAGTGGGTCTTTGCCACTTGTCTTGGTAAGGCAGCAGCCAAGGCCGGCACATCCTCCCTTTGCTGGCTGTTTACCATGAACTTTGCTACAATGGTACAGCAGCAAGACCTTTCTCCTACAGCTCCTCAGAGTACAGCTTTTGTTCTCTCTGTGAATCAGCAGAAAGCTCTCGATGAAACCTTCCATCCGTAATAAGAATGCAACTCTTTTGAACTCAAACAGTTTTATTTAATGTTTTCTTGCAGACTTTCTGCAAAGTAGCTTCTTTTGAAAGAAGAGAGAAAGAAGGGGGTTTTTTGGGAATACCAAGTTAAAAATGTGAGCCGAACTAAACATGCCATACACATGCTGAGAGGAATTTAACACACATTCATCCGTATGGGCACTCTTCAGTAGACTGGACCAGTGTTTCAACGCAAATTCCAGCCCCCAGAGAACTACATGGTTTAGATTTCACAGTATGACTTTTCCCCCTGTAACCTGGGGGAAAAAACCTTAACTGGTAAATTGACCAAGTTCTTAGCTGCTCTGTCCATCGAGGTTCTGAGACATCAGAAAAGACTGGACCACTTCTTCCGTGGACTGGGGGCTGGTGCTGACGTCCTCCAGCGCATCCGTGACCGAGAACTGCCGGTCCCGCAACCGGTTCCAGTTGGCCAAAATGTTGTGGTACTCAAACACCTTCTCATAATTGCCAATGGAATTGTACAGTTTAATGAGACCTCTGTAATCGTATTCAAGTCCACTGTATCCTTCACCAAAAAGCTTCTTTCCTAGAGAAACCCAAGAGAAAAACCAAGTTGAGAGGGAAGATCTCCACGGGCCGCATCTGAGCTGGCAGATTATTTTTACCAACAGCATTTGCCTACTCTCCACTTATGTTCAAAATTTACTCTCCACTTATGTTCTAGCCACAGAATGTTGTTGAGAGATAACAGCCAAGTTATTTTGTGAAAAGTTTCCTGCAGTCACTTACCAATTGCTATGGATCTCAGGTAAAGCTTTTCAGCATTTTCATACTGGTTCATGTCATAGTTGTAGAGGGAGGCGAGGTGGCCCACAGAGAGGGCAACTTCATAATCCTCCTGCCCTAGGAGCTGCTCCTTGATCTGGATGGCCTTGATGTGCATCTCCTCTGCTTCCTGTCAGGGCCAGAGTCACACAGGTCAGTCAGACACCACTCACCACCCCACAAAGAGGGGAAAGTTAGTTAAATTTATTTAAACTATCAGTAGCATTTTGTAACAGGCAGAAAGTAACAAAGCCAAACACAGTCCAAGTTCCCCAAATTCTTTAGAGAAGTGGATCAGCAGATAGCAGCACCAAGCTCTCTGTCACCCTCTGAGGGCATCATCCATCTCCATGCATTATTTTTGCACAAAGCTTTTGGGGTGAATGATAAAGCACAGAACTACCAAGTGAACTTGGGAATTGTGGACACTGAAACCCCTCATTTGTAGTGACAGATTTCAGCTGTCTTGCAGATTTTAGGTCAGGAGGAAAGTCTTACCTTGAACTTCCTCATGGACTGATACAGTCTGCCCAGGTTGCCGTAGTGTTTGGCTGTTTGCACATTGAACTCCCCAAAGGCTTTTTTAGCCAACTGCAGCGAGGAGAGGTGCAGGTCATGAGCCTCCTGGAGCAGCCTCTGCTCTGTCTCCTTGTTGTGACAGTCTATGGCAATCTCCTCCAGGATAAGGGCTGGGGGCAGGAGACAGGAACTGTTACTGTGCCCACGCCCAGCTCAGACCCAGGGACCCACCTGGGGACACAGCCCCCCAGGCCTGGTGGCTGTCACACTGCTGTGGCAAGCTCCCAATACATTTTTATATTCTGTAATTTCACCCCCCACTCTAACTCATCTGGCTAAGTTGTTTTTGATTTATTATTTTACAAGTGTGCTGTAAACACACTTGTAAAATAAAAGGACTACAAACACCTCCACTGAAAAAGACAGCTCAAGCTCCATTGCCTGGGAGGGACCAGGATGAGCACATCCCAATTATTCAAACAATAAAGGGAACTACCTTTAACTCTCTTCGAGGAGGCCAAGAGGAGATGGTCTTCTGGGAGGATGTGAGTGATAATGCCAATAGCACGTTCAGCATGGAATCTGAGAGAGTTGAAATAAAAAATTCAGGATCTGTTTGTGTATGCCAGCAGTTGAGTGATGAAAAATGAGACATATTAATGCAATGAATATTTTTCTTCATTTACAGCACTAACTGTGCTGCTGTGTGCTGTACTCACAGTGCATTGTCAAACTTCCCAGAGCTGTACTGGTGAACATATGAAGAATAAGCCAAGTCTTCATGAGCTGTAGCTACGTGGATGTTTTTACCTCCAAACACCGACTGCCGGATATCGAGCGCTGTCTGCAAGGGTTCCAAAACCACAATTTCATCAGCTAACACAGAAAAAACCCACATTCATCTCTATGGTGAATCTACTGGCTCTGAAATTCTCTACACATTTGAGACACCAGTTATATTCAAGAGAGGAATCAGAGGAAGACAAAGAAAGCAAAACCCCATAGCTGGCAGTGTTTGGGTTTTTTTAAACATCATGATTACAGTAATAAATCAATCTCCATTAATTAACTCCAACATCTGAGAGATTAAAACATAAAGAGAAACAAGTCCTGCTGCCTACCTGATAGATGGCAACAGATTGGCAGATATTGTCTACGTTGAGCAAGTAAAATCCGTAGTCTAGTAGCGTGTCAGAGTATTTGGGGTGCTTGGCTCCAAAATGCTCCCTGCACAAACACACTTCCATTACAAACTGAGGCCAGCTGAGCACAATTTTAGAAGGGTTTTTTCTGGACTGGCCCTTACCTGGCAAGGTACACGGCGTGCTTTATGAGCTGCTCAGCCTTCTTGAACTCCCGTTTCACCACACAGGCCTGGGCAGGGCAAGGGAAGCACGTGAGGAGCTGAGCACTCACAGCTCAGCCCCTCCAGACACTGCCACACTCACCCTTGGTTTCAATTTCAAAATATCACTGTGGTTATTAAAACACTTTTTGGTTATTTAAGAAAAGGAGCACAGCATTAATAAACTTATTTTATCCTGCCTGACTGAAGGAATTGTGCTGCTCCTAGTCCAGATCAAAGAGGGATCAGAGCCCTTCCAGGGAATTTTGCAGGTTAACATTGTCACAAGGGTCCCCTGTGCAACTCCAACTCCATTTGAGAAAGACTCAAATAGAAACAAACTCCCCCACCCATTCTGAGAGAAACACAAGCAACAATCCTTAGGGCCCCTGAGGAGAAATCTGGAGGTAACAACCTCTCCTCAGCCGTTCTTGGCAGCAATTTAGTACCCAGAGCAATGGGGAGATTTCAGGTTCACCTTTGAGGCTTGTCGTAGCACATCCACCACTACTTTTACAGGCAGCCCAACTGTGATCTCCTTCATGGCTTCTATGCACCACTTATAGGCCTGTGGGACACAGACACCAACACAATGGAAGCTGGAACTTCACAACACTGGAACATTATTATCTGCCTCTGAAAAGCTGGTCATTTACATTTCAAAATTTAAAATATGAAGTTTGAGTGCTTATGCGTAATTGTCCCGTTATGTCTTAAAAGACAGACTTAAAAACCACTTTTAAAGTTAACAGTGAATATGGAAGTCTTTTATATTAATCTAAGGTTTATAATTACAATGACTTTTACAGACAGAACAGGGTATTTTATAATCTTTAAGCAATCCTCACCATTCTCATTGTGCAGGACAACACTGTCAGTGAACTTAGGGATTGAAGGAAAACCAGTTTATAGAGTAGTTACATTTCACATGGAGTATAACAAACCAGCTACAAAGACTGTGTTCTGCTATTAATTTTCAATTACTAAAATAAGCTTTTATAGTATTTCATTTACAGCTGACCAACACATACAGGCAAGTAACACACGTATGTTCATGTCGGTCCGAGCGCTGTGAAGCGCTCACAGACTAACACAGAAGGATCCATGGAAACAAGAGTGGATAAATGAATTCTCACTCTGGCAGTGCCACACGGGTGCCAGGGAGAGCAGAAGCAGGAGCAGCGAGGCACAGGCAGGAGGTGCAGTGCCAGCAGAGCCCCCCAGGCTCACCTCGTCGTAGTGGCTCTTGGCGAAGAGCAGCGCGCACAGCTCCCCGTAGAGCGCCGCCTTGTTGGCCTGCTGCCCGTGCTTGGCCAGCTTGTCCATGTAGGACTGGGCCAGCTTGAACGTCTCCTCTCCCAGGTGGTACTTGCAGTTCCCGTTCCGAACGTGCAGCAACCTTGGGGGATGCAGAGAGAGCTGCTGAAGGAGCTGGAGACAGCCCTGCCTGCAGCAGCAGCGGGGATCTCCCCGGGACACCCACAGGGCTGAGCTCTGCCAGCCCAGCACAACTGCCCTGCCTGGCTCAGCCACACACAGCTGGGCACAGGGCAGGAATTTTCCTGCTGGAGATGCCACAGGATTTCGCCTATTGATACAGTTTTGTATTGAACACTCTGGTGTGGTGCCTTTGTGTGTTATTTTCCATAAAATCCACTCTTCCCAATACTGATGAGATTCCATTCCCAAAGCCCTGCCCTACAGTCTGAAATCCCTCCCACCTCCTTCCCAAAGCAGCCACAGTAAGTACAACACAGCTCATTTTCCTGCATCCCTGCACTTTTCCCCAAATCCTGAGTAGCTCCAAGTGGGCATTTCTGTGCTTTGGGGCTTGGGGGAGGTCTTCACATAAGATTTAGCCACATTCATTCCACATGAGAACCAGCTTCACCAGGAGAGACCATTTCATTGATGACAACAGCTCAAACACCCCCTGCTCTTCCCTCTCCCATCCTGCTGCCTTCCCATCTGAAGCATCAACACCCAAACACAGCCAGTGACACCCAGCACTGGTGAAACCTACTCCTGCTTCTCCAGAGAAGTAACAGTTCCAGCTTGTGGCACTTATTACAAATAAAAACAAAGAACGTGTGCATTAGTGCAGGCTGATGCTCACTGCTTTAACGAGGTGCATTTGGAGTGGGTGTGTGCTGATATTCCAAGCCCCAAGGGCAGAGCTGGATTCCTAGCCAGGGCAGCTGCTCCTGCTCCATGGCAAACACCTGCCAGGGAGCAGACATGGAATTCTGGTGAATTAACCTCCACTGTCCCTGCTGGAAATGCATCATTAGACAGTGAGTAACAGACACTGAACACACCAGGCAAGGCTTGGGAAATCAGGGCAACACAGCACAGGCAGAACTGCACAGAGGGAAGGGAAGCACAGAGTGAAGCTGCACTGCAAAGAGGCTCAAACTCTGACTACGTGGCTTAATGTACAGAACTGCATTTTAGTCCTGATATCATGCATTGGGATAAAACTTCCAATCCATTGTTAAGGGGAAGGAGTGAACAGCAACATTTTTGCTCAATTTCTTTTCTAAACCTGTTTCCTGTTTCCACTTGCTCCAAACAGAGATTTAAGCTATGCAGCCATTCCCCAGTGATACAGCTCATCCTAAGAAGTGCCTGTCCAACACTGTCCCTCTGTTTCCCACCCAAATGCATCACCAAGCCCCAACAGTAACAAGAAAGGAAATAAAGTTTCCATTTTCCTAAGCAGGGCCTGAAGGCTGGCACCTGACAGATGTGGATTTGCTGCACAAAGAGAACATCAAAAGAAAAGCCCTTCAAAACCCTGCAAAAGCTACACAAATTCCCTCTCTCCAGTGGGAAACAGCACCGTGGCTCAACAACAGACAGCAAAAAGCAACACCTCCATTTCTCCTCAAATAAAGCCTCAGAACCAAACACGATGTACAAGTGCATTGTGTGCCTGCTCACAGGAACATTCCAGCAACAAGAGACAGGAATTATAAAGAAATGAGAGAAGAATTAAGGAAACAGTTTTCCTAAAGAGAAAAAACCATTTTGCCAACACCATTCAGTTGGGAGCTTCTCTGCAGCATCAAAACCACAGAGCCCAAATCCCATGTAATGGAATAAGCCAGTGGGGATAGCACTGCAATTTAGATAAGCTCCTGGGAAAGATCATATCCAGTGTCTGGATGCTTCAGTGATAGTGTCTAGAAACAAAGAAATCTCCCCAAAACCCAGGCTAAACCTAAGCCAATCCTCTAGGATAAGCAGAGTTTATGTGATCCAGTTCAGAGTAACAAAAAATCCTTTATTAATCCAAAGGAATCTTAGGAGATAAAGCCAAGAGGAAGAGAAAGGGCCTCAGGACGTTTATGCTAATGGCTCTGAACCTCCTTTGATGTCTGCAATAACAGCTTTTGGGGACTAACCTCCCCCAACAAACTCAGTCTCTCAGAGCCAACACAGCAGCTTAGGAAGTCTAAAACCACCAGAAGAAAACAAGCCAAGAATCAGCCAAATGTGCAACAACAAAGTGGGAGAACCACACATTTGTGTTATGCACTTGTACCTCTTTGTTTAACACAGAGTGATGAGAGAAGGCAAACCAAAAGGAGCACCACACCCCCAGAAAAGCAGGGTACAGAGAAACCTCACACCTCCCCAGCTTCTCCACAGAATTTACTACTGCCAGGACAAGGAAACACCAAGTTGTGCTTAAATAACACAAAACTTCACACATTTTCCAACTGTGTTCTATTAATTCTGCAATGTATTAATTCAACTTCCCAGAGGTTTGACTTGCCAAATAAAGTGTCATACTTTCAAAAGCTGGACTTGAATTTTGTTTCCTTAAAACTGCCCCCAGCTGCAGTGCAAGCTCAGTGTGAGCTCCTGCAGTGGGATCAGGGGGTAACAACACCCTTTACTCTCAAGCTGAAAGGCAGTAACTGAGTCTAATGACTGCTCTCTGCCACACAAAGGTGTTTAGATTTTACAGACTCAGCCCTTCCCAAAGTGTCTGAGTTCTTTCAGGTTGATAAAACTCCAAACCAAAGAGTCTCTACTAAACAGAGAAACACCCCAGCTCAGAAGGGCTCATTCTAGCACAAGGGCTTTCTTCCAGCACAGAATGAAAATCTCCTCTCCACACCACAGTCCAGCAGAGACAGCTCCCTTTTTTCCCTCCTTTTCATTTCTATTTGGAGAAGGTGACAGTTATTTTTAAGCAACTTCTCCAGCTTGCCAAAGAGCCTGATGCAACGAGAAAACTTTTTTTAGATTAATTAGAAGGCAAAGGACCAAGCAGTAACCGTGGCTCTATATCCACCACTCCCCAGTTCTAGGAAGCTGGATACGTGTGCCCAGGCTCCTGGCATCACTTCTGGAATGCCAGCCAGCAGATCCAGGCAGAGCAGTGTTGCCATGGCCCTGGGGCTGGCACAGGACATCAGCAGCTCTTGGCAAAGCCTCTTTACTCTTCGTGTTTGCCCAACCATCAACAAGATGCAGGGCTTTTTTTGGAGCAGCTTTCCAAACAAGTTTTGCTCTACATTCAGACAAATACAGCACATGCTTTGTTCTTTGTTACAGCAGCTTGAAAAAAAAAAAAGTCCTACTTTAACTCTGCCCAGCAGCCTCCAGGTGCCCATGGGCACATCTGGAGTGTGCAGAAACAGCCTGGATGTGGTGAGAGCAACAAAACCCAGCCAGCTCCTGCCTGCAGTTCATCACACCTCAACACTCAGGGGAAGAGCCTCTGTCAGTGAAATGTGAACCTCTGCAGGCCCTGAGGAACAAGACAGCTTCAAAATTCTAACAGCAAAAAAAAACTTTTCCAAATGTTTTCATCTGTGGCTAAAGGTGCCCACAGGAACCAGACACCCAGATCTTTACCCAGGCCCAAGCTAAGCTGTCAGCATGGAGCAAGAGATCTGCTGGATCTGCAATCAGGAAAGGTAACTTTGGCCTTTATTTCTGCTCAATTGTATCTGTGCTGTTTGCATTTGGATTTGGCAAATGCTCTTTGTGGTAAATAGAACTTCAGCAAAGTCCAACACAGAACATTCCTTCACGTGCAAAAATCCTAGGGAAACAAGAACTGCTGGACCACTTTCATTATCCAGCAGTGTCACCCATGAGATTACACAGGACAGCAAAACATTGGGTTTTTTAATCCATTGTACTGTGCTGCCAACTTAGAAGCTGAAAATCCAGGGATTAGTGTAAAACAAGCACCTCCTGCTCTTGAGCTCCAGCCAGGGAAGTGTTTTGGTGCAGCAGAACACTAAAGGAGCACCTGGAGCTGGATGGCTCCAAGGTTTCCTGGGAATTCAAGGTGAGCTCACCTCACACAACACTCCACAGCACGGAACCAGTGAAGGATTTCGTCGTGGAGGGTGCACAGCTGAAGGCAGGAAAGGAAAACCTTCTCAGCATCACTGTACCAGCCTGCGTCTGACAGGAACCCCCCTGCAAAAATCAGCAACAAACAGCAACTTGAAGAGCAAAACGTTTTCAGGAGGAAAAGGGTTTGCTCAGGTCTGGCAAGATGATCACTCATTTCATGGACCTGCTTCTACAGACAGAAATTCTGTCAAGGTCAAACCCTCCTGACCTGGAAAGGATGAAATGTAAGAGAATTCTCCTACAGCTGAAGGAAATAATACTTTGGTTTAGGATGCTTTTTTGTTACTACAGTTTTCCTATAGATTGCTGTAAAAAAACCCCAGAACTTACCTACACTAAAATAATGCAAATTCCTCATCACATTTGCAAACCAATTTTAACCCTAAACAGTCTGAACTAAAAAATCTATACATTCTTAAATATTAAAATCCAATATATTTCTTTTAAGACACCAAGTAGCTTTCTAAAAATTCCATTCCAAAACACACAGTTCTTTAAAAGGCCTATCTTTAACAGGAAAAAAAAATGAATGTTACATTAACTGAAGCTTGCAAGAGAGAAAGCAAAGAGCCCATGAGCAGCAGTTACCTAAAACAAATCCAATCTGGATTGCTTTTTCTTTCACAGCAGCATCTGACTCTGCAATGTAGGAGCACCTTCTGCTGAAGGAATAGGCCAGGACAGAAGCCACCTTGACTCCATGGTCCATCAGAGCCTGGAAGCAGTGATGGAGCAGATGTCTGCAATGAAGAGAGGCAGAGAGTGGTTACACACGAAGGTCTGAAAGCAGTCAGTTGGCTCTCATGAACTCCAAGGACAGAAATCAAGCCCAAGGCAGATCAGTGCAAGCCCTCCTGTGGGGCTGTGGCTGATGGATCCAGGCCTGGGTGAGCCACACCAAGGGACACTCTGGGAGCCAAACTCACGCTGTCCTCACGGGATCACAGCTGGGAGAGGGCGTTTCCAGCTCAGAGCCACCGGGGAGGCTCCAAGCCCCGTCCCTCCCCCAGCACTCCGGACAAACGAGCAGCGATGGCTCCGTTAGCACCACACACAGCAGGGGTGGGACCAGGGTCTGAGCCTGGAGCTCATCCCGCTAACAGAGAGCCTGATCCAAAACAGTCAAGTTCTGCAACTCCACAAACTGGAATATTTAATGACAGGAAAGCGCTTCAAACTGGGGCAATCCCAGCAGCTTTCCCAGGATTTGCTAAATCAGCAGGACATGGGTGCTGGGACTGCTGCTCCCAGGGACTCTGGTGTTCAGCAATGGGGGGTTTGCATCGTTGGCTTTTTCTTGTTTGTGCCTTTTTTAGCATCTCTTCCTAGATGGAGAGATTGAGAGCTGAAATGAGAATTACTGATCTGTTAAGATACTCACCTTTTATCTAAAGCTCGTAGCACCTTTGCAAAAACTTCTAGTTCACAAAATTCACTACCCAGCTGGCACAAACGGCCCTGTTGGTAAAGCTGAAAGAAAACCAGGGAAATTTATGTAAAACTGAGTTTTTCTGGGAAATTTAGCTTATTAGCAGAGGTAACTTAAGATGAAATCTAGACTTTAAAGCATTGAAATTCAGCAGGCTGAAATAAGTTCCTGTATCAGAAGATTTCACCTCAGGTGCACAATTTCAGTGTTAAAAACTGAGCTATGAGAGGTCCATGGATGGTTTCAAGGTTTTTTTTAATCTGTGGATGTATTTCCAGGTGTTTGTGCCCTCCTGCAACACCAAATCACTGCCACATGTGAGCTACAAATCCAAGACAAATACAGTTAATTTTGATACCAAATGCTTTCAGAACATGTTTAAATGACACACAAACTAGGATGCAGCAATGCAAATATATCAGATAAAAATAAACCCAAACCCACCAGTTCTGCAAGGGGTCACTCACCAATGCCAGCACCACAGACAGGCACCAGCCCCTCCCCACTGAGCTTCCAGAGGTGACTCCCCCACCAGTAAATGGGAAAACTGGAGCCTGCTCATGCATTTATTATTAAAGGCACTGGCTTGATTCATGCCCACAGTGATTTGTGCCTGCAGATAAGCAAATTTATCAGCTGAGCTGCTCACAACAAACCACAGACAGTTGTCCATGCAGTGCATGGTCAGGCTCTGCCACATCAGGCCATAAATGCCATGGATTTACACAGGTACAAAGGGACTGTGCAAATAAATGTCACAGAAATTCATTGTGAACTATTAATTCCCATTATCTTAAAGGCCCTGACCCAGAGATGAGCACAGGAGGACACATGACCTAAGGAAGCAGCACTCCACACCTGCCACAGGCACCACCAGTGCTTAAATGAAACATTAATATTCCTCCCAGTTCTAATAATGCCTTCAAATGCTTCCAGTGATAAGCATCTGGTGCCTGGTTCACCTTTTTCTCCACAAACACTGGGAGCTGATGAATTAATATTCTAAACACAGCATGTGAGAACATCTCCAGCCAGAAATTTAGTTCTAGTCAACTCTTCTCATAAAAGCACACAACACTGGCTCTAGAGCACAGCAAATGTGTTATTTTAACAACACAACCTACAAAAAAACCCTTCAAAAATACTTTGACCCAATAATGTCAATTGCCAGAAATGAATGTTTTCCTCTTTGTTATCTATTTTGCTGAGGGAACATAAAAAAACAAAAAAGGAAGTATTTTAAAAACCAGAGCAAGTTTGCATGCAAAGTTAGTGCTCAGATAAAGCAGCGTGTCCCTGCACTTCAAAGGGATCAGAGCTCCTGCTGGAGCTGGATTCTTCTGGCACTGAAGGAACAGCCAGTCTGCTGTATTTAAAAGCTACAGTCATGGTTAAATGTTCTCATTCCTTCAGCACAGCTGTCTCACACTGAATGCTCTATAAAACCTAAAATGTACTTTCTGCAGTAAAAAACCCCAAAAAGCAGCTGTTTAAATTGCCCAGAGTGAAGGTGGGCATGCCATCAATAATTGATGAGATCCTTTCTGGAGGAAGCTCAGACATCCCCAAACCAAAACCACTATCAGGTTTCACAGTGCTGAGTACAGCATCATCACTCCTCCTATCACCTTGCAGTACCAACCCAAAATCCCAGAGATTCCTGCTTTATCAAAAATTAACCACAGTAAGACTTGAAAAATTTATCTATTTAGGAGGTTACATAAACACTTCTTGTAAGGAGAGAATCCCTCTTACAAGAGATTGTGAGGCTGCCAAGGAGTGAATGGCGTGGTGGGGTGGGAGGGAGGGGAAGGTCCCACAGGACCCTCAGTTTTGGAACATCAATAATTTCGGGCACATGTCACATTTGGCTCAGGCCCCAAAGTCCAAGCTGCAATGTTTCACTGCTCTAACTTGAAATACAACATCTTTGGGACTTTTATTACCCTGTAACCCCTTCCCCGGACATACTGGCAAACATTTTGAGGAATTAACTCAGCTGGAAGCCTCTTGGAACTGTTGTGGCTGTTACAGCAATATTTTCAAACAAATTTTGACAGGGAAATAGTGAGTATACGTCAAACTGTGAAGTAATTCCAGGAGATCCAGTAACACTCATTGAGAAGCTGTTGGGAGGACTGAAGAAATGATTCTCTTGTTAAAGCTCCAGAGACAGAATTCCTGACCACAGCCTTGCTACATAACAAGAAAACAAAACAAAACAGTGATTCAAGAAAAACATGCCCTGACATGAACACAGAGCTTTGGACTTCTGAAGAACTATTCTGTTCTGAAGAGAGAAATGTCTTTTAGACAGCAGCTTAACCTATTTGGAACCTACCAGGATTTATTTTTCTTTAACTACAGAAAAATGACTCAAAGCCTGCAAGGTGACTCCCAACTCCATCAGCTCACACCGAGTTCTGGCACTGAGGACAGGTATAAATTTAATATACAGGTGGATTATTACAGCCATGCCCAATGCAGCTGTTGTGCTGAGAAACTCAGCACAGCCCTCCTTAGGAGCCAAGGCTGAATGTTGAACTGCTTGTCCAGGTGGGTGTGTTACAAAAGCTGCACACTGTGGTGTCCCCAGCTGAACATATTAATGACATTAACTTGTAACTTTATTATTACATCATCCATTAAAGTTCTTGTCTTTCTCTCTCTGGGTAGATTAAGCTAAAAAAACAAACAACCAAACAAACTCTCTCTAAACATAATAAAAATATTTTTAAAAATCATCTTTTAAAGCAGATGGGGGTTAATTCCAGCCAGCTGTACAAGGATCCTCTAGAAAAGGAACCGAAGAAGACGCAACTTGAAAAATATGCTCCTGTTGCTCCAGTTTGGAAGAGGACTGAAAAACATGGATATTTCAACAAGAATTACAGAGGAAATCCAAGAAGCTCCCCAGGATGTTTTGTAATGCCTAATAATGTCATATGGAGTACCAGGCCAGACTGGGGAAGGACAGTGTACTCAACAGACAGCAGAATTGGGGAAAAAAGTTGGCCTGAAACCACCATCTTCCCTCCCCACTCAACAAGGAAGGAAAAAGTTTTCCTGAGTCAACAGTTCACATTTGTCAATCTGTTGACAAATGACTCATTACCAAAAATAATCAGTTCAAAATTTAGGTACATTCCATGCTTTTAAGACAATTTCAAAACCATCTACAAACCCTCTGGACAAGCTTCTACTGGATATGGTTCAAGGCATTAAAAAAAAAGAAAATTCCAGCTCTCCTTGGAAAGCACAATTCCAGCTACCAGGCTGATCTGTACAAACCTCAATCAAATAAATAACCAAGACAAAACCAGTGTTACTGAACTAGCATGAATTCAGAGACAGTTTCTAGAGCTCAGTGCTTGCCCACCTGCTCTGCTCTCTGGGCCAGAGCAGCAGAGTTTGTGTTCCACAAGGGAGACAAAGTCTGAGCCTCACACACAAGTGATTCTCCTCAGGAAGTGGGAAAACCCAGCCTGCTTGGAGCTCAATCAGCCCAGAGGAAATGAAGTGGAAATAGGAATTATTGTTCAGCAGGAGCTCAACACCTCTGTTCATGATGTGACCTCATTATCTCAATTATGATGAGTTCTGGTGTCTCAGACTCAATAAGGATACTGAAAAGGTAGGGAAGTTGAAAGATATCAGGATGAGGAAACATAACCCAGGTAATGTTTAGAGGATAAAAAAAAGGCAGTCTGAGTAGTACACGTTAGAAGGCAAGAACTTTCAAACCAGTAAAGACATAGCAAGGAAAGACAGTTCAGTTCACAGCTAAATTTAGACTGCAGAAATAAGGCATGTGTTAATAATAATAACTGGCAAAAACTCATGAGGTAATGATTCTCCTTCACTGTGAGGCTTTAATTGAAGAGGTGCTAGAAGGATCTGACTGAAGGCCAGCAGCATCCAGTGCTGCACACTCTGCTCCTGCCAGGTGACAGAGAGGTTGTACACGTGTGAAACCATCGCTGCTTCCCACACACACATTAATTCCTAACCCCAAAAGCACAGCAGAGGCAGGGAGTTCAGCCTCTGTGAGCTCACCCTGGGGGTCAGAGCAGACCCCTCAGAAAGCTCTGGGATGCTCTGCCTGCCTCACTCTGTGTTGTGACCTTGGCTGTGCTTCCCAGGCAGGGAAGCTCAGAACTGAAGCAGCAGCACAGCCACACTCCATTTCAGGGGGAGCTCATCCTGCTCCCTCTCATCAAACCCCCTGGAGACCAAAGCCTTGGGACAAGCTTGCTGTATTCTAATGGACAGAAGTGGTGTTGTAATGATTCTCCATCAGTAACTCAACTCTGCTGCAATGCAGGGAACTGACGTTCTGCTGCTTGTTGTCAACACTCAGCAAATTCCTGCTTGTTCATTTCTTTGGTTCAAAGAATACCTAAACGTGACAGAAACCAAATTAATGTCATCTCCAACCACTCCTGCGGTTAATGATCTCACCAGAAAATGTTCCAAGAACAAATTATTTTCAAGAAAAATCAATTGGAAGAAAAGAGAAACACACAACCCAGAAAGGCCATTCCAAAAGGAGAATGAGCATGGGATGAAACTCCTTGTCAACCAACCCAAGTCCAAGATGAGGCTGGCACTGTGCAACTGCCACAAATACTGGGACAGAGAACACCAAAGCAGCAAAGCACCTCGAGAACCAAAGGCATGAGATGATTATGCAAAGTAAGAGTATAAAGCAGAGGCACAAGGGGAAGAAGGGAAATCTGCACAAGACACTGACTAGGGAGCTCAAAACATAACTTCTGCCAACAGCCTTGATTCTTCATAGGAACACCCTCAAAACATTATCCTCACCCCAACAAACTACAGAATATAATAAGCTGATTTTTTTCAGAGATTTTGCTGTGTTTCTTTTTTGGTTGGTTGAGTTCTTTTGTTTTGGGTTTGTTGGGTTTGTTTTTTTTTTTGCATTTGCAGTTTATTCCAGCGGAGCTGTTTGGGGGTTTTGTGTTGATTTTTTTTTTTTTGGTTTTTTTGGTTTTTTTTTTTTTTTTTTGCATTTGCAGTTCATTCCAGTTTATTTGTCACTACTTTTTAATACACAATTTTGGCATTTTGTTCATATGCTGAGTCTGAGTTATATGAGATCCAGCATATTTCTTTCTTTGGCTTCTAAAACCTACACACCCTTTCTCTTATCCTCACCCCCCAAAAAAATTAGGCAAGAGAATCGAACTAGTTTAACCAGGAAAAAGCCCGACCAGGATACACACAAATCTGGCAAACAACCAAAGGAAACAAAGTAGGATATGTGTGCACATTTTTATTTTTCCCCCCCCTCCAGAGGCAGGTGTTACTTGTAACAATACTAGTTATAAAATTCCTCAAAATACAGCTGTCATTAAAAAGACTTTTAAATATTTTGTGGCTCATGTAGGCTCAGAAATTTCCAGGATATCCTCACAAGCATCCTACTCTGCCTCTTAATTCCCTAATGGGTGCAAGGAAAAGCCAACCAGTGCTTGAAAAAAGAGATAATCAGTGATACCCTGCTGAAGCAGAGCAGGTTTGCTGTTTTACCACCATCATCATCATTTGATAGTGCCTTGTTTTGAGCTTTAGTCAGTGTTTGAGAATGCTCCAGAGAGATAAGGATGCTCAGGATGAGGAACCTGCCTGCTCCTGTCACCTTGCAGCAGAACCCACTCCTTACCAAAGCCACAAGAACATCCCAGACCCATTCCCCACTCATGTTTATAAGCATGTCCCAGAAGTTATCAATCCTAGAAGATGTAGAGGTAAAACAAATTGGATTTGTTAAGGAGTGGGAAATAAAGGCAGTAAGTTATGACAATAGAGCCAAACCCTGGACTAGAGGGTCCTGGGGAACACCAAGACACTGCTGGTGTTTTTCCCTTTTAATAGCAGCACACTGACTGTCTCTGCTGGGGTATCTCACCCCCAGCTTCTGAATCAACCCAGACATGTTGGCAAACCTGGGCAAGCCTGGCAAATGTTAAGCACCAATACCAATGACTATGATGAAAACATTTTTGTATAGCTACAGACAATTAACATCCACAGATCAAAACAAAATCTGACTGGTACCACCTTTTTTTTTTTTTTTGCAAAACTCAGTGGCAGTTTCTCAAGCACCACAAACCATGACTAATACCTAGATAAAAAACTATTACAAGTTATATGAAAGATTGGAAACATTTTTTATCCCTTTTACTCATCACAGAATGAAAGTAATAGAGTACACTAACAAACAATTGACACCTTCCAACACAGCAGCAGCAAACACCATGTAGTCAAAGATTTAGAAGTCTTCTAGTCTGTCTTACTCCAAAGAGTGGTAATAGATTTGGAAATTCTGCTTTAAAGAACTCAGTGGTCAGGACATATGGAATATGGCTCACCACCATGAACTGGGATTTAATATCCACCTGATATTCCAAATAGCTACCCAGAGCCAAAACAGCAGAACAAGCCCCACACACACTGTGAGAGGGATGCTGTCCCCAGCCTGACCTCATCCAGTTACCCCAAATGACACTTTTGATGCTGTTGTGTCCAAAGAGAGACCCAAGAGCCAGTTACCAAGTGTTCCACGGGTGCACAGAGAATCCCAGGAGGGTTTGGGAGGGAAGGGACACTGCAATGGCTCCATCCTGCCAAGGGCAGGGATCCTTTCTCTAGAGCAGGTCACTGCAGGTCCCATCCAAGTCGGGTGTCCCCCACAGAAAAGGTGACACTGAGGACATGGAAGCCCAGCCCACTCTTACAGAACACACACTGCAGGCATGGCCCAGTTTGGTTTATTCTGCACGAGGACATCTCACAGATGTGGCTTGGTAAGAGGAGTAGCAGTGCACCGTACACAGCTCAAAAACTCCACAGAAATTACAGGAAAAGCTTCAAACTGACAGAGAACAGGATTAGAGATTAGGAAAGCATGTCTGCAGGACCTGGCACAGGTTTCCCAGAGCAGCTATGGCTGCCCTGGATCCCTGAAGTGTCCAAGTGTCCAGAGCCAGGCTGGCCAGGGCTTGGAGCACCTGGGACAGTGAAGGTGTCCCTGCCATGCTGGGATGGAATGAGATGGGCAGGAAGGTGCCCTCCATCCCAAACCAGTCTGTGATTCCATGCAATTGCTGTCATTAACAGCAGCTGTGCTGCCCCTACAGCACAAGCATCATTTTGGGGACAGGCACTTATCACCTTTATCATCACCTGCCCAGCAAGATGACAAACCCAGGTACCCCAGCAGAAGAAACATGCTGGAGTCTCCCCAGAAATCAGATGTGCTGGATCTTCTTCAGCATGGAACCACTCCACGTGAACCTGCTTCAAAGCAGCCACTCAAGAGTGCTAATAAAAGCATTAAAAATCAGTGATCTATTAAGCTCACCTAGAGATAAGTTTTTAAACAGCTGGGAATAACACATCCTTCACATTTCTATCATCAGAAGGAGGTTTTGTTTCATGCTTTTAAAAACCACAGAGCACCATCCTCTCACCTGAATGAGCATAAGAACAGGCAATGCTAAGGAAGTTTATTTGGCAATGATCACATTTATTAACAACTGAAAGTCACCCCCAAAATATTCTTCCACATGGTGATTTTCATATCTCTAGCTTTTAGCTGATATGTCAATCACATCATTATCTGTGAGCATGCTCATATGCCATAAAAATGGGTTTCCATCCTTCCTAGCACCTAAGGCAGACATGAAATAACCAGGACACAGAAAATGTACATGCCTGTTTCAATGCTGGAAAAGCAATCTCCCTGTCTCCAGTAAATCCTGCTACTCTCCGTGTATATGATGGGTCATTACACCTGGTTCATAAAGATGAGACTAAAGATTTACTTCATTTAAAAACTCCTAAATTTTCAGAAATTTGCAGGCAGAGGAAAGGAGGGTTATTCCTCATCGTAGGTTTTTTGGGGGGTTTTATAGACATTGTTTCTCCCCAGATGAATGCTCATTTCCAGCTGCTCCTGCACATGAATGAAATGCCTGTTTAGTGGACAATAAGAAATTAATGGACCATCTCAGTGCACCTTTTACACCAAATCCGTATATTCCAGGGGCAGCTGAACGAGAAGCAGCCCTTTCACCGAGGAATAATTTAATGCTAATAAAACTACAGCATTAAACAACCGTCACTTCTTTCCATCTGGCTCCCGCCAGCTCATTTACACTACACCACGGCAAACTGCTCCCTCAACCACTGACATCACCGTGTCCAATTCATTATTACAAAAAAAAAAAAAAGGGGAAAAGGAAAAAACATCTTCCAGCACAGCCAGCTTGGCTTCATCCTGCCCGCACCGCTCCCCCATGGCGAGAGGCACCTTCCCCTCACGACCCCCGAGGCCGGGCCCCGTCCCCGCGTCCCCCAGCCCCTCACCGCGGCCTCGGGGCGGCTCCCGGGGGCAGCCACAAGGCCCCAGCACGGCCGGAGCCGGGAGCCGCCGCTGCTCCAGCCCCGCAGGCCCTGAGCCCCCGGCCCGTTCCTTCGGGCCGTGCCCGACACCGGTGAGACCCCTCAGCCCCGCTGGCCCGGCCACGCCAGGCCCGGGCCGCCCCCCGGGCCGCCTCTCCTTCCACGTCCCGCAGGCCCGGCCGGGCCCGGCCCCGCTCGGCCGCCGCCGTACCTTATAGTACACGTCGAACTGGATGTTCTCGGGCAGCGAGCGGATGTCGCGGCGCCGCGCCCGCCCGTAGCTGTCCACGACGGCCGAGATGGCCGTGTTGTAGAGCGTCTCGGGCACCCACTCCAGCTCCACCGCCGCCATCTTGGCTGTGCGGAGCCGCCTGAGGGGCTCCCGCAGCCCTGCCCGCCTCACGCCGCGGAGCTCCCGCCTCACTGCCCGCTCCGCCTCGCGGGGCTCCTGCAGCTCTGTCCGCCTCACGCCAAGGAGCTCCTGCAGCCCGGTCCGCCACACACCAAGGAGCGCCCGCAGCCCTGCCCGCTCTGCCTCACGGGGCTCCTGCAGCCCTGCCCGCCTCATGCCCCGCGGTTCCCGCCTCACGCCGAGGGGCTCCCGCAGCCCTGCCCGCCTCACACCAAGGAGCTCCTGCAGCCCTGCCCGCTCTGCCTCACGGCTCTCGTCCCCCTGCCCGCCCGCCCTCCATCTCGCCCGGGGCTCTCAGTTCCCCCTCACACCCCGCGGCTCCCGCCTCACACCCCGCGGTCCCACAGCCCTGCCCGCTCTGCCTTACGGGGCTCGTCCCCCTGCCCTCCATCTCGCCCGGGGCTCTCAGCTCCCCCTCACGCCAAGGGGCTCCCACAGCCCTGTCCGCCCTGCCTCACGGCTCTCATTCCCCTGCCCACCCGCCCTCCATCTCGCCCGGGGCTCTCAGCTCCCCCTCACACCCCGCGGCCCCACAGCCCTGCCCGCTCTGCCTCACGGGGCTCGTCCCCCTGCCCTCCATCTCGCCCGGGGCTCTCAGCTCCCCCTCACGTCCCACAGCCCTGCCCTCCCTACAGCGGCAGTACCAGGGCATCATGAGGGAGGCACAGGAACAGACTTAGGGGGAAGCAGGGCAGCGCTGTGGGGTGGGGTTTTATGGAGGGTCTGGAGCAGCTCCCTGATGAGGAGAGGCTGCGGCAGCTGGGCCTGGTTAGGCTGGAGAAGACGGAGAGGGGATCTCGCTAATGCGTGAAGAACCTCTCAGAGCTGTCAGAGGATGTGCCAGACCGTATCCGGTGATGCCCAGCGACAGGACGAGGAGCAGTGGCCATGAGCTAAAACACAAGTTCCACCCCAGCACGAGGAAGAGCTTTGCATGAGGGAGGTAAAGCCCCGGGAGGGAGTGGAATCTCCCCCTCTGGATTCATCCCAAACCCACCTGGACACTTCCCTGCTGCAGGTGGCCCTGCCTTGGACTGGATGGGCTTTAAAGCTCCTTCCAAACCTCTGGATTCTGTGAATTCCAGCAGGCATCTGTGAGGAATGAGGTGGGATTACCCACCATGGCCCCACAGTACACACCAGCCCGAGAGGCTTTATCTTTTGGGGCTGAGCACAAAACATTAAATATCGCCCCTCACACCCTGAGCCCCACCCAGCCCAAACTTCTCACATAGCATAAATATCATTTACAGCTCACCTGTGCTAACACCCAGCTAATATTGGGCTTTCCATGACCTCCAGGTGTGTTGGCAGCTCATGTCAGCACTATTTGGGCACCTGGGTTTTGCTCTTACAGGACATAATCGTAACTGTGAAAGAAATTTTATTATTATTATTATTATGTGAAATTTCTGTTGCTGGTGTTTTCATAGCTAATGTGGGACTGCTACTGTTCTTTTTAATTTTAAAAATTATAGGGGGCAGAGCTCCTGCTGTTTTGCTTTGGGCACGTTATTTTTAAAACCCAAATTGTTGCTATTCCTCCCATTTTTGTGAGAGGCCATTATTCTTTGTCCTTTATTTGCACAAAGAAATGTTATGGGGTGGGAAGAAAGGAATGTGGCATAAACAGACTATGGAAGATTGTTTTATCCTTTTTTTTTTGGCTTTTCCCTTTAGTGGCTTCAGATTTTTCTTTTATTTTCTGAAATGCTGAGGATTTATTTCACCTGAGGGAATACAGCTGAGGGAATCCTGTTGGCAATTAGCCCCCCCAGGGGTCGAGACTATTTAGCTCAGTTATTTTTAGAGGTCTGGTTTGGGAAGGTTGGAGGTCTGTTAAAAGCAGGAAAGAGATGGGATTTTTTTTTTTAATGCATGAAGGGAAAATTATTGATAATGTATCAAAAATGATTTTTTTTTAGTTTATAATGTTCTTTATTTTACTTTAAAATAAAGTATCTAGTAAGTTTTCTACAAAAACACAGTGAAAGTAAATATGCTTCTCTGTGGTAATGGACTTTATCTTGATAAATTACTATGTTTTGAAAACTGAGTTAGGCTGCACCTTCTACTGCCTGGCAATTTTTTGTAGACAAACCTAGAGTGTGCCCATTCAGAAAAAGAAATAAATGTATCTCTGAAGGAAGAATATTATATAAAGTTCCTCTGGATTGTGTTATATATATAGTCTGTAACTTATTTTAGTGGAGCCTGAAAAATAATCTTCATGGCAAAAGCAATTTTATCTCTACATGGGGATAGAATTTAAATATACAAGCACTTGTTTTTTATTAATACTCCATGGCTTGGTATATTTGTGTGTTGAGCAATTTGGTGCTCTTTTACCACTAATGTGTTTTTTTTTTGTTAAAGGTATTACAGAGAGTTGGAGGAGTCCTCAGCCACTGTGTTGAGATAGTAGGTAAGCATCAAAATAACATATTTAGCAGAAAAACTGACTTATAACAGACTGTTTTATTGAATAAGTGGTTCCTCCTTAGTTGTAATGATTGCTTAATTTTTTTTTTTTCCCTTAAACCATATTGGAAGCTTATTGCCATAACAACTCCATTTGATAATGTGCTTTTCACATCCGTAAATTATTTTAATGCAATCACTCATTAATCATTGCAGATGTTGGAAATCCTTCCAGTGCTTGTTGGTACAACTTCTGATGGATATCCTTATCTTTGTTGGTATCTTTCTCTTTCCTTTTGTCTTTTTTTTTTTTTTTTAATATGGAGAAATAGTTAAAGGGCTTTTCCAGAGGCTGCCAATGCCTGAGAGCAGAGAGGGGATGGATGTTGTTTGGGAGAAGCCTTCAGTGGGTCTGGCTGCTGCAGTGTGAGCTTTTGAAGATGCAGCTGGGTGCCTGAGCCCCTCACATGCACAGGATCTGGAGTGTGGGACATCTGGGTGTCACTGCAGGGGAAGGGGATGCAGACAAGGATCATAAGGGGTAAATGGAGAAAGAAAATCTAATGGTGGTTATTATTAAAAAAAAAAAAACCAAACTGCCCTCAGAGATCAAACAGCCTCTGGGGTTGTCAGAGCTCCCTGTGTGGAAGGAGCTCGTATGGAAGAGATTTTACATCTGCAGACATGGCTGTGGGATTTCAGGAGAGTGGGAGTGGAGCCTGGTGATGTTCTGCCCTCTTAAAAGGCTCAAAACCCTTAAAAAAACCCAAATCCCAACCAGATATTGGTATTGAGTTACTGTTTCTGGACCCCAGTGAATTGCTGGAGCTCTCCTCTGCTGGAAGAAGCTGTTCCCATGAAAGGCTGAGTTGGGATTCCTCAGCCTGGAAAAGAGAAACTTCAGGGAGACCCAACTTGAGCCTTCCAGCACCTGAGGGTGCCTGCAAGGGAGAGGGACCCTTTGCACAGGGAATGGCTTCCCACTGACAGAGGGTAGATTTAGATGAGATTTTAGGAAGGAATTCCTCTCTGGGAGGGCAGTGAGGCCCTGGCACCTTCTGCCCAGAGCAACTGTGGCTGCCCCTGCATCCCTGGGAGTGTCCAAGGCCAGGCTGGAAGGGACTGGGAGCAGCCTGGAACAGTGGAAGGTGTCCCTGCATGTGGCAGGGGTGAAAATGAGATGAGCTTTAGGGTCCCTTGCACCCCAAACCATTCCATGATTCCTTTCCAGACGTGGATGGATCACTAACAAGCCAATTTGGTCTGAAAATTACTGCAGAAAGTAGCAGTGTTGTCTTTATCTCACAATTTTTGACTGTAAATGAGCTTCAAACTGAATTATTTTTTTCTTGATGTGCTTGTAGATTTATATTTCAGCCAAATTAGGAGCTGTATGTTCATTAAAGCCCATGCAGGAAACAACAGAATTGTCTCTCCTACTGCTGTTTTTTTCTGACTGCTGTGACCTCAGGTCAAGCTAAGTCACCTGCAGCTTCACCTGCCTCATTTGTAACTGAAACCAATTAGGAAGTGCTCACATCAGGGGCATTTCTGGTGGGTGGATTTGGGAGGTGATTTTTGTCAGGGAAGTGGTGATTTGTGTTTGGAGCCCTCTCACTGACCCAGTGAGGAACTGAGAGGGGAGGCCTGCAGGTGCTCTGCCTTTAATGCCTGTCTCAAATTATTCAGTAAATAAATAAGTACTATTTTTTTCCCCAGAAATATAGTTCTAGAGAGCCTGGATGAAAAATATGGAATCTATTTAATGTGCTTCCAGTGAAAAAAAAATGGTGTTTTGCCTGCTTTCCTCAAAGGTAAGATACTTGTCAGAGAGCAGAAAGCTGTTTGTAAAATTCATGTGGTAACAAAGAGGAAGTTCAGTATGGATGGAGTTGAAAATCTGAGCTAACTCATCAATGGGAAATTAAGATTTGGATCTTTATCTGGCACAGTTTAGGATTTTCAGATTGGACCAGCAGTTTTTGTTTTGTCATGGGTTAAATGTGAGCTTGTTTATGTGGACAGCTTTGTTTTTTAAATTACTATAGCTGGGCATAGTTAGTGGAAAAAGAGGTTCTAAGAAAACAATAAAAACCTGCTGAATTTCCTTACAATATGCTTATTTTGAAGTGGGAAGGAAGCGAACTGACATGGATAACATATGAACCTACTATATCTCCTTGATGTGGATATTAAAGGAACCTTGAAAATAGTTTATGGGGAAGTTGTTGGAGGCTTCTAATTTTAAATTCTTAACAGGAAATCATTAAACTGTAGAGGAGCCAACATAACAGACTGTTGCTCTAAAACAAGAGCTAAATGCAGAGCATCCACATGAACTTGTCAGATCTTTTTAGGTTTTTTTTCCCTTTCCTTTCATGTTTACTGCAACACAGATAAATACATTTTCATTTCTGTTTTTCATATACATCAGCTGAGGGTCCCATCTGAACGAGATGTGAAACCAGTGCCCTTACTGTCAGACCTCGAGGCAAGTGGAGAAATTCACTTTATCCATTAGGGCCGGGGTGTTAA